GGCTAGGTTTAGGGTGGACGTTGTTTTGCCAAGGCTTTAAGGCTTATAAGAACGACAATGAATTTAAGGCAAATGAAATAAAAAAATAATAATTACTACCCCACATTTAAAACAGGTTATAAAGATCTTGGTTTTGATTCTGTCACGTTTCATGTCACGCCATTAAGAAATAACTCAAGCTATCTGCTGCCTCTGATCGTGCACACTTGACTGTGATTGGATAAATCCCCCTGTCTCTCACTCATAGCATAGAGCTGGATGTAAAGCCTTATATTACACAAAATAGATTTATGCGAGCTTTAAGCCATTTTATAATTCCATGTTTGTTTTTGATGAGGAAAAAATATTATAACATAGATCAGAAACTAGTTTAATAGACTCAGTTCATGTTTACGTCATAAACCAGGAAGACATTTGGAAACTTCCGGCAGGCTCTATTCACAGCAGTAAGTCTAGGAAAAATGAGAAAATGGCCCAGTTTTCTTCATCTACCTCACTGCAGCATTCGGCTAATCAACAATTACAACCATACCTCTATTTTTATCGTTTCCCTATCATTTCCCTACATGCAATTAGAAGAGATGAAGACGCCAAATTCAAGATTATTCCAAACAGCACGTGTATGCAGTCTTCATTTTACCGCTGATCACATTTACTTCAGTGGGTTTTATCACAGTCGGTAGGCAAGCTCAGTGTACAGTACGGTACGGTAACTTCCTGGTTTGTGATGTAAGTGTGAATAGAGCCCTAAAGAAGTAATCACTTTATTATGATCTCGCCAAAATAGCCTATCACAGCACGCCGTCATCAATAACAATTTAATCAATAAGGAATATTTTTGAACATTCAGTTAGGCCTACATCAGTGCATAACTGTAGAAGCCACCTGTAAATACGTTTTTATCAGTTTTTCCAAGATATCAAACTTGCCCATTGATTGACAAGAATTGAAAAGGTCAAAAATATTAGCCCCAAGCAGTATTCATCATAGCCATTTCCATCCAGCTAACACCAAGCTAACAGCTTACTTCAAACTAATTATAAATGTGGTGTCAGTCTTCTCGTAATAGGGTTGGTCTGTGCAAAGCAAATAAGCAAGTTCTTAAATGATTAAACAATTCCCTCCAGGACGTGACCCCTTTCACTAATCAATACCAGCCCTAATTTCCTGACATAATTTCTTCTCATTACAGGCTGTTGTCAAAGTTAAATGCTATAGGGCCTCCAGTGGGGATTTCCCATGAGGCCTAGTGGCTGTATGGCCTCAGCTCCGGGCGATGACCCACTTGTGCCCCGTACATGTAATGCCCCTGGTGAGCAATTGAGCAAATAATGAATGAAAGCTATGACTGAGCCTATAGAGGAAATAGACAGAGGTTCAGAGACACAAGCCAAGGTCATCTGCTTTCTCAGAGCGATCTCTTTCAATACCACGTCCAAAGTCAACATTGCAACCAACTGGCAGATTTAAGAGCGAAAGTTGAGAGGGAATGGGGGCTGAGTGAGGAAAATGGCAAATAAATCATACAGAGGTGGAGTAGAGTTGCTTACAATTTAACTCAACAAAATCCCATGTGAAATTGAATGGTTGCCTATTTGTGTAGCTTGTGTCTCGATTTTCATCTTTGACTAACTTAGAGAGCAGATAATTATACGCATTTTTTCTTTTGATTTTAAAAGATCCAATTCATAACTTTGCCTGGAATGTTCCACAGTATGACAGGTGTTTTAATTGCTTCAGTACCTTAAAAGTCCTATGTTACACAGTATGTACTCTTGTGAGCTTTAAGACATGTTTTAATGCTGTTACCTCCTCAAAAATATACTTGGACTTCTGTTTTGTTTAATTCACACATGTTTGCTTTGTGTTGCATTTTTGTATGAAAAGCACTCTATAAATAAAGTTTGATTGATTGATTTGAGTCAATCTCCATTATTAGCCTACATTTCCTGTTGTGGTAGTTTTCAAGTGTACAGCTAGCTTTCACCTTTAATTTAGTAGATAAGGGCAAAATTAGGGCTCAAAATATCCAAATGATCCTTGTGAAGGTGCATGGAATTTAAAAACACAGCGGCGTGTTTCCTGTATTACCATGACATCACAAGGTGAAACAGAATGTTTTCTGTTAGAGAGAAGAACTCAGCCTATGTAGGATTTGTGTGTTAAAACATGAATGAAACAAAACACAACTATATGTATGTTTCTGATGAGGAAACATTATAACAGATCAGAAAATAGTGTAAAATGGGCCCCTTAAAACATGCAGTTGCTGTAAGTTTAATTGTGAAACATTCCAAAGCAAAATTACAAGATCTTCCACCTAATTGTGTACTGGAAAAGGATATCAATTGTTAGAAGTCTATTCCTTTTTACACCAAATACAGCCTTCAGGTTAGAGGGTAAAATATTAAATGTTAACATCAAAGTTCTCTATGTCAAGGAACCACTCACCCATTCAAACACACATTCAAACACCAGTGTACGCAGACACTGGGCTCCTAATAATGGTGCAATTAAAGTACAAGAATAGAAATGTATTAATATACTATTTGATCTCAAATCCATTGTCTTGTGTTGAATTCTTACTAACTGAACAGCTCCAGTTTCACATACAGTATCTGGCATCCCTGGCCGGGTGGCTGCAGTTATTCTTGTGGGCAGACACCATCACTTACCTCTAATTAACCCGATGATGGTTCGGTGAGCACCAACTGAAAGAAGCCATTAATCACTCACCTCACCCAGAGCCGACTACAATCACAAAAGTGGAAAACTTTTGGTCTTTTCTCCTCCAACTACAATGAAACAGACACATAATAGTGGACAAAGTCTGCACTGGATCTGAGAACTATTGAAAGTATGCATCTATCCATCTACTTGACACACAGAGGGGAGTTGAAACCATATAGCTGTATTAAAGCCCTAGCAAGAAACTAAATAAGTCTCCACTATTTTCACAGAGATTTTCCAAAACTGTTCTTGGTCCAGTTAATTCTGCCAAAATGGGTCACGAACCATTTGTGAGGAAAAATGAGACGTTTACTGTATACATCCATAGTAAAAAGGCTATATTACGTTGAAAATGCCTAATCTCTCAGAAGCAGGATTGGTACAGGGTGGGAGGCCATTGAGAATACCAGGTGCAGTAGTAGGGAGGCAGTGGATCAGTGTGTATATAGTAGATGTGTTCTTGAGCAAAACACTTCACCAACCTTACCTCCTTACATCCAGTGAAGTTCATTGGAGTATGAATAAGAGAGCAGTTGTGAGAGGAAAACAAATGGAAATAGCCAGTGACAGGTTCAATAACATGCAGTGCCCTGATCAAATGAACAAATGAATCAATGGGGGCATCTGGCTAAAATTATGCCAATTAACTGTTTATTTCTTGCTAGAGGTCTGTAGATCCTAGTCTATAAAAAAACACACACTTTATGTACACTTAATTTGAGCCTTTTGGTAATTCATTATCTAGACTTGAAACCCTCCCAATATATTATCATTTTATTCACTTAACATAATTTACAGGTTAAGTGTAACTTTCTTTCCTTTCTCCTTGTGTGTCGTACTTCTCCTGTGTGAGCGGTGGCTGGTGATTTATCCAATGATGTAATGTTGGAAAAGTCAAACCTGTAATTGAGTCAGGAATTTTTCATCTGGTCACAGCTGCCTGGATCTGCCTCTAAAAATAAAGATCTTTAAAAAATAGTAAAGAAGAAAGAAACACTGTGGATACAAATGAAAAAGACCACAAGAGATATTAAAGCTCATGTTATGCTCGAAGTGAACAGCCACCTGATGAGTCCTATTTCTAAATCTATTTTTAAATCTAGGATTATCAGGTTAACCCAATGAACTGCAACATTTTTGTACAGCGAAAAGTTTTTGAGGTCTGTTTATGAACTAAATGAGACACTCCACGACCATGAAACATGTACCTGTTGAACTAATAAAGATGCTTTTGATGAATTTAACTGTATATAATTTGTTCGGACGCTCAGAGATAATTTACAGTGCCTTGGCGGGGGTGTGGCACCTGGTATTCCCAATGGACTCCCGTGCAAGTACTAACCAGACCTGGCCCTGCTTAGCTTTTGAGATGACGGATATGGCCACATGTAATATATGTAATTGCTTTGAAAAGTTATCACACCACATTTAAACCATAAATAGCATGTCTCCTCCAGCAGGTCTCACATCCATCAGTGTGAAATCCCAGTTGGTTGGCTAAGCCCCAACAAGTGCATGCAGCAAACAGCTCTAGTGTGCTTTGAAAATGCCACAGCTATCATCATCACTGAAGAGGAGGCAGGAGGACACACTCTCTGGCACAGGCTGATCCATGTGCATTTTATTACCTCATCTTCAATGTGATTTATGGGTCTATAGTCCACTCCTCCAGCTGTTTAGACCTGTGCAAGGTAAAAGAAAAACATGGCTGTATTACACACACGGAATGAGTATGGCCAGTACCTCCAGAAGAACTGCAGCAAGACTCTGATCTTTAGAGGAAAAATGTCCCTTGTGATTGAGCCCATGTCAGACAAGACCTACATCTGCATTCCACTTCACTTCTTCAGAAGGTCTATAAAACAGGATCACAAGGAAACTATATATACATACATTTAAAATGCATTGTTTTCCTTTTCTCAGACTGACTGGTTTTACATTAGCAAACACGTGTCCCTAGGTTCCCCTGTGCCTAACGGGTTACAAAGCCTGTCAAAATAAAGCCTGCCTTGTAGCCCCATCCAGTGGTGAAACCTAAAACTGCAAAAATACAAGAGGCGTTTTTAAATCTCAAAGCATGATTAGTGTGAATTCACTTACCTTTCTCATATATATTAATTGTCATACGATAAATGCATAATTAAATTTGTATACACCAACATGAACTAATTAGTATGGTGAAAGTGTTATCCAATACCAAGTAATACTATTGCTATTACTTACTATTAATACTATTAAGTGGGAAACAGTTGTGTAGCTCACAGTCAAAGTCATTTGTAATATTAATTTATTAACCAGAACAGAATAATGCGGGCATGTTTAGTAGATTTTTACAGTGCAGACGATACAAGCCAGCAGAGCAGTATAAGAAACCAAAAGAGCACATATTAAATTTTGGATGAACAAAGGCTGCCAAGAAAACTGGATTACAGGTCTATGAGAGGCGCATGTAGCTTTTTACCTCATTTCTGCCCTAATACTCATGGTTGCTTAAAGACAAATAAAAGTCTAAATGAATAATCAAAAAAGTTTGCACAGGAATAAAATAGAAGCGAGATTTACCAGTTACATGCCCTTTTATACAGTACTAGTGGCGAGAGCAATAACAATGGAAGTGCAAAGTATGTGGAACACCTCTAATTTAGAAGGCTTTAAAACCAGATTTATAATTTGACTCCCGTAATTTTGGTCTGCAGTGTTTAAAGAAGGGACTTTTAGAATACAGATGCTTATAGGTAGATTACTTTCAGTACAAATGGTGTTTGCCATTCAAATGTTTATTTTCGGGATGCTCTGAATAAGATAGTGTTGCAACAGAAATCATACAATCTTAACCACATCAATACTGAACAACTGCAAGAAGCCACAGGATAAGTGATATATCGGCTAATATGTTGAATCTGAAACCGAAATTTTTTTTGGAGTGAATATATTTTGTCACTGATCAAAGTAACTTCAAAGTTCTGACACAGCCCTAGCATGGGAGTAGCTTAAGGAGAAGCAAACTACATTTAAACTAGCACATAGTTACTAGAGACTGGAATGAGCTATGTCAAAACTGAAGAAAGTATTTGGATGAGTAGCAAAACAATACAATGACGCAATCTTCTTTTTCTATAGGCCCTATCTGAATGACATATTCCTGAAATACTTTAATTTAGTTTCATAAGATCCTACTTTGACAGTGAGTTGAAGTATTTGTTGTTGTTTATGGAGCCAGTGGCCCCAGTCTCAGCTCTACATGATGGGTTAGCCAAATGGCCTCTGCCTGGACGTCCCCTGCCTCCTCACTCGGCCTGATGGGAGCCGCCAGGTTACGAAAGTCGTGCCGGATTTTAAATGAAACAGTGACATCGCTGTCCTCTTCCTTCTGAGGGATCACTTTGATGAAGAAACCAATCTTGTTGGATTTCCTGAAGGCAACAATACTGGAGGAGGAGATGGAGATGGGGTTAGGAGTGAGCTGACTCTATTAAAACCATGTTGTGTGTAAACGTGTGTGTGTTTGTTCATGTGTGCGTGTTTTTGTGCGTACTCTGGGTCATCCTGGAAGTCTTGAGGTTCAGCGAGTTCATCATACTCCGCAGCAGCATCCTTCCCGGCCAAAACCAACTCCTTGCTGGGCATCATGACCTGAAGAAGCAACAACAACAGAGGCAGTGGTTTTCAATCAACCTTTAGAGTCTGCTAGAGACAACACGATGTTAGCAATCTGCAATATGTAGTAATGCTGAATGTTGCTGCGTAGTAATACATAATCTTAGTCTCAACTAGATTATTAATTAGGGTGAGCAGATTTTCAGGATTTTCAGAATTAAAAACCGGGACACACATGGTCGTCCGGGCCTTTCTGTGTGGAGTTTGCATGTTTCTCCCCGAGTCTGGATGGGTTTCCTCCGGGTGCTCTGGTTTCCCCCATCAACCCAAAACATGCTACATAGTCAAGGTCAATTAAATACAATCATTGTGTCCTTAGGCAAGACACTTCACCCACATTGCCTAGTATGAAAGTGTGTGTGTTGGTCAGAGGGACCGATGGCGCTGAGTGGCATGGCAGCTGCGCCTCTGTCAGTGTGTCCCAGGGCAGCTGTGGCTACAATAGTAGCTTACCATCACCAGGTATAGAGTGTATGAATGAATGCTGAATAATGCTCTGTAAAGCGTCTTTGGGGACAGAACTCACTTGTGGGTCAATCATAATCTGAGAAACTGTTGTTGCACTTTTTTTGTCTTTGGACATTTTCAAGCATGGTTTCTATAATTTAGCTTAAAAAAATGACAATATATCCCCCTCCTTTATTGTTGGTGGGGATCAAATTGGTCAGAAATGGGGACAACTGGGACATTTCTTGAATAAAACTGGGACAAATCACTGGTTTTGTATAAATCTGCTGGGACAGGGGGCACAGGGCTCAAAACTGGCACTGTCCTGGGTAAATAGGGACATCTGGTCAGCCTAGTATTAATACATATTAATTATTAATAATAATTATAATAATTAATAATAAAGAGGTTATAGCATACAGTGTCTAGTATGCATACCAATGAAATGACTACACTAAACCAATTCACTATTCAATAATGTAGGATAAGAAGAACCAATAGGTTCTGTGCACAGCAGCATGCTAACTAGCTCACTGTGTTTCAAAGCTAACAGTCAATTTTATTAAAATCGTAAAACATAAAACAGTCTATTAAAATTCTAATTAATTCAAGTCAAGACTACCAAATTTTTTATGGGTAAAAAAAAAAGTTTTTGGTGTTGCTTTAATAATTATTATGCCTTAAAATAGCATTAGCGTTGAGACACAAATCTCTACCTTTCTAAACACAGAAGTGTGTTTTATCATGTTAGTGACATCCCCCACAGCTCCTTGTTCACTGCCTTATCTTTAAATATTGATACACATTGATACACAATAGTACAGGTAGTAGTGCTAACAGTGTGGTTGCCAGGTGCTATTGTGCACAGAGCCTATTGCAAATGCAGAAAACAGTTATTGTGAAAATTAAACCTGGACTAAAAACAAAGCTGAACAAAAACTGAAATGTACAAAGGGCTTTAATGGTTTTGACAGTGAGCATCTGGCAGGCACAGGATTATTTCATTTCTATTGACACGGATATTGTGGCTGTTATTGTTGAAGTGCTAATTTAGAGTTTATCAAGTTTATGTCACAGCTGTTTCTTGTCATTTTTGCACAATTTAAGGAAACAGAACTGTCCAAACATGAATCTACATGACAATTTAACAGTAATACCTAAAGAGGATTAGAGAAAGGAGCTGACTGATCACAGTTCACATCATTATAATTTTAGCAAAGAAATGCTTTTCACAGTTTCAGCATCAAGCCACTTAGCTGCACCTATAAGACTTGTTTTTAATTAAACTATAGTCACAATGCAAATCATTTAATTATCACACATTCATTTTAGCACTCTTTTTTAGCACTTTAAATCCCCTGATCCACACAAGCAATTTTTTTTGACACTTGGTTAATATCACTGGCAGCCATTTTGAAGATCTAATGAGCACAGTATTCCCCATGTAATCTGAAAGAATGTTCTTCTCACTGCAGCCACAGAAGCAGCTGTGCAGATGAACCCTGCATTTAAAGGTGTTATCTGGTTTAAGACACACACTAAAACATCTGCAATGATGGCTGTTGTTTTTCATGAGGAATGCCTTGAACACATAAGAATCGAGTATTTATAGTAAGCCTGTGGCCATTGACCTTCATGACAAATTAGCAGACAGTTCTTGCAATTTCTGTTTTTCATTTTGAAACCAGTCCAGTCTTTACATTACAGGTATTGGCGAGACATTATAACTGTGACAGTCAACCCCCACAAATATGTGCTGGACTGTAAAATAGACCACTAAAGTTGAAAACATGTTCAACTTATAAGTTTTGTTTGTTTTTTTTTTACTTTTTTTTTGAAGGTGCACAGTGCAACTTTTCTAGTGTGGGGTTTGCTACCTGCCTTGTCTCCGTTGAGATGTTACTGCTTTGCCTGGAATGTTACATAGTAAAGCATTAAACTTATTTGTCTCTCTAAAAGCAAGCATGTGACTAACTGGCCAAGCAACGGAGCATCAAGCCTGCATGTTTTTCAAAGGATTTTGAGCAATAAATACGCTGTAATACAATACAGTAAATATTGTTGCAAAATGCCAGCTTTCAATAGTTCAATGCCAAACATCAGAACATTCCAATCCACACAACACAATTTCCATGGAGACAAGCAAGTGGCAAACCCATTTCTTGAAAAGCTACATAATGCACCTTTAAGAAAAGTGTTCATTATAGATAACAAAATAACTGAGTGTCTTTAAAACAACAATTTTGATATTGTCCATCTTTGATATTTCTCCCACCTCCACATCACTGCAGACAGTGACTTACACACACTGATAAAACTCATCCAAGCAGACCTACATGTTCTTCACAATGGCCTGCAGGTAATTGAACTGATCAAGCAGAATAACAACACTAGAGTCCTGCACACTCCACTTGGCCATAATGTGAATAGAAATGGGTCATGAAGATGCTGTCTTTTGGCCAGGGGCACTTTTTCACTCCTGCCTGGGACATGGCGTCATCACTGAAGGCACAAGAAGACAAACGGCCATACACACAGGGGACAGACCATCCACTGGGATGGAGCAGTTAGAGCTGTGGATTTGACAACTAACAAACTGAGGGTAATGGCTTTACATGTGAAAGCGAGCAGTTATAAAGGTCAGGGAGCCCACAGGGAGTACAGACATGTAGGTAATATACTCCAGCCAGGTACTATCTTCTAACCTGTTAGTGGTAAATAGGGCTGCACCTAACTACTCTGATAATAGTCCACTATTATTTTTTGATTTGTCTACTACTCAAATGATTATTTCTACTGTACGTTAACATATTTGAAAATACATGTTAAACAGGCTTCTAGAGAGACAATATTCATGAATAAAGAGTAATATAGATAAGAAAATGTTTTCATTTGTTTTAGAGTGTGTATAGTCCAGATGACGATCAAGTTAAATTATTTTGAATTATTATTAGTTATTCCCATTCATTTTTGCAGAGTTAAAGCAAAGAGTCCTCTTGATATTCAACTACAAACTATTAAATTATGTTACTACTCTATTTTAAAGTTTTCATGTTCACATTGTATTATTCAGTTACTGTGTTCAATAATTTCTGTAATTCCCACTAATTTCTCAATAATAAGCAGAATTTGTCAAAGACTTTTGAATTTGAACACAGCCATTGTTAGTATGCTAAATAAATAAATAGATATGAAGAATAAAGGTGAGAGTAGATCTGGCAAAATGTTTCTTAAATATTGTTGTTAGGACATGCCGTTATAGTTTAGAAAACAAATCAAAGTAACTTAAAATCACAGAAGATAAGCATTTTGACATTTTTAGTTAGTTTTTCTTCCTTTTTTTCCTGGCACTGTTGAGGTTACAAAGTGGAGAAAATTGCAAACAAACCTTAGCTGTGCTGTTGATGTCATCGGGATCTTCTTCTTCACAAGACGCCAAGGTCACATGGGTGACATTCTCCACTGGGTTGGTCAATGTTAGCAGCACTTGACTCTCCTAAACAGAAAAACAAAAATAATTTATTACATTTTATTTCGTATTTAAGTTTGGAGTTGTATTGGTTCTTGTCTTGGAAGTTAATAACTTCATAACAATTTAAATTTCTCATTCAGACTTACTTTCATGTATCGGAGATTTGGAATGGACATAATTCGCACTTCAGGGATATAACTCCTGCAAACAAGATTCAAAGGCAAAATCCATTTTCATTCACTCAGACAGTCTGAGACAAAAGTGTTTTGTGAAGGCAAGGTTGAAATAAAAAGAAAACATCAAATGAATAAACAAACACTCACTTTTGCTGCATTTAATTTAAGCTAGTATTAAAAGTATTCCTAGAAGGCATTTATTAAGGCATAAAAAGCAAACAAAAGCTTTCATTTATTAAGCTGCATGAATAATTACTACAATATATGTGTGTGCTAAGGCTCAACTAGTATTACACATTACAAACTTAATCCAATTACACGTAGTAGAGGCTTCAGGCAAAATATAATTAATTATAATGATTTATTTATCAAAGTGTGACTTTCAGAGTCCCTTGAATACTTACACAGCCACCAGCTGAATTTTAAACTTGATAGAAGTTGGGTTGAACTCTGGCTTGCTCAAGTTGTGCTCACATTTCTAGAGGGATTCGAGAGACAGGAACAATTAGGCTTTTCAAGTAAATAACTCTTTATATGCCAATCAAAACAGATTTCAGAGCTCAATTCCTGCAACATAAGCCAAGCATATAAGCACATATTTTAAGTCTAATGTAAATATAATATAAAATTCTGTTCATTTCAACATGCACTGCATTTGTATTCCTTACAAATAACATGCTTTACATGTCATTGATAGCTGGTTTCATTGAAGCAGTATGATTAAGTTATATTATACTGTGAAAATGCATCTAAATAAAGATAAAAAATATATAAATACACAAAAAGAAAAATACATGACTCCGTGTTTCCTACACGTTTCTGCTGATAAAATGGTTGAACCAGCAATTTGAATCTGTTTATCACAAAACAGTTTAGAGACTTACTGCCTGTCCTGACAAAAAAAAAAAAATCATGTAAACTTCTTTATGATTAAAATATATCAAGGACAAATAATCAGATTAAAATTTAAGGTGTCAGTCTGCACTACTAATAATAAGAGACACCCCATGTCTGACTGTAAAAACTGGGGTGCACTTACCCTGCAGCGGAGAGAGCGCTTCATGAGCAGGTGCTTGTGTCTAGGGTGGAGCTGAGAGGCATTTGCAGGCTGGAAATCCGGCTGCAGCAGACGCTGTCTCAAAGTGGTCACTATGACAACCAACAGCACAGACACATGATTATACATAATGGGAAGTATACAGCAGTCACATAACAGAGTACCAGCTCACCCTCCGGGAGATTGACAGGCCGAGTATAACAGTCTTCAGGAAGAGGCTCCACTTCATCAAGGGCCTGGGCAGGTTCAATGGTGATCTCTTTTTGGTCCTCCCCCTCTTTCAGACTGTTAGTAATACACAAATACACAAATAACCAACATTTTAGTCAGTTTCACTTTTTTTCACGCTACTACAAAAGCAACATACTAGATACTAGAATTCTGCTGACAATCAACTCTCCCTCAGATCTCACAAAATGTATAGAGTCATCAAGAATTTGAATCTGTTCATAGTTTACATTAAACAAAAAGCACTCACGAAAGGCCAGCTAGACTTGAAAGAGGTCCTCCAGGTCTTTGCCTTTGCAGTCTGGTTCCCAGGCCATATTTTTCCTGTATAAGTTAGAAATAAGCTAAAAAAATCATGACATAATGTATGACCATTCTCTATAGACTTACATCAACTTAATAGAAATGCCATCAAAAACAAAGAGTGTGTTTAAGACAAAATGTTATGTTTCACTTGTGTAGACAGATTAAATAGGAGCTCATTGTGGATGAGAGAAGAAGAGGAGTTTGCTGAACACTTCATTTTCTGGTTTTAATTAGGGTTAAAGGTGTCTTGATCTGTAACAGTGTCTATAAGTGTAGAGTTTCTCCTCTGCTGCTGACCAACATAAAGGCTCCTATTGTGAGCAGCTCAAAAACTAATTTACTCAAGGAGACATTCATGTGATCTGTGAGGTCACTATGAGATTAAACAGAAAAACAACTACTGTTTTATTCAGACTACTTTTAGAAAACGTGGAACTCACCACCACATGAATAGTGTGTTGCTGGGAGCATATAAAATTTAACAGGCAAAAGGAGAGAAAAAAGAAACAAGCCATTACGAAAACATTAGTAGCACTTCATGCAACAGCAACAGAAATGCATCAATGATGGCAAACTGCACACATTAGAAATCAGGCATATGCATCAAAGGACTGTTTGGTCGTTCTTATGGATACAGAATGTCAAGACAGAGAGACTCTGGGAGAAAAATGTATTCACTGTTGCATCCAGAACAAACCAAACTTAAGCAAAATGTTAACGTACAAATTGTTTTATGCAATTCACTGATAACTGTTAGATAAGAAATGCTCAACATATTTAAAATTACCTACTGATTACTTAGAAAAATAGATTACTATAGACAGAAATAAACAGAATGTTTTCTTTAAAAACTGGTTTACCGAAAAAGCCAGTGGCATCCCTTGTCTTCTCCGTGCCATCTTCTTTCGGTCCCTCTCTTGCTTCTCTCGGTGAGCTAGTGGTTGGTAATATTCAATAAGTTTGTTGATCTGCAAGTGTAAAACAACACATTTACTATAATTGTATGAAATTTATTTATTACATACATGAATAAATATACTGTATAGAAATACATATGTATATGGAACATGCACAATAACAATAAAAAACAGGACACCAATATTTCATAACCAGTTTTCTTTGTTCAGTTTTATGTGCAGTATAACAAAATGTTTATAACTGAAAACAAAAAATTTAATCTAATCATGTGAGCAGCTCATGAAAGACCACAGGGTAGAACATACTCGCTGAGTGTGTGGGTTTTCTGGTTCTTGCCAACCACCACTGGCTGCAAAGACAAAAAAAAAAAAAAAGGTTTTACTCATTTAATATATTTTCTGATATAATTTCATTGACAAAACCCGCACAAACCAACTGATTTATCAGCCATTCCCACATCTCTGGAGGTCCAGCGGCAGAATCCACAGGCCAGATAATAGGCCTTCTTCATGGTGGTTTTAGTTGGGTCATCAGGCAAAGGAGCTGGGATGTTTGTGGCTCGAGTGGACAGGGTGTGCATACAGCAAGGGCAGTCAAAACAATTAGCACACCTAAGTGCAGAGATTCACTTAAGTTTAGTGTAGATTCTTAATTATAAATGTACACAATATTGCACATATGTCATTCACCTGTTCTTTTTAAGCTTAGCCTCTGCTGATGGCATGTTTTCCAAGCAGCTTGGGCAATAGTGGGAGTCCACCTAAGATGGCAGAGATGGAGGAGTGAAAAATAAACAACAGACACAACAATTGTGCTTGATACATTAATAAAGACATCAATTTTACATCCGCAAGTTGAAGAGGTCATATTTCATTCATGACATTTTCTAACAAGAACTAATAGGCAGTCTATCCAAAGCTATGGGTGTGGTACAATAATATGAGAGGACTAAAGCAAGATGAACTAAATTATGAACATGGCGCTAAACGTTTGTTCAAATGCTTAATGTTTGCCACATGAAAAATACATTGGTATTAGGCCATTAATTATGTTCTGAAAGCATTTTTGTTGACTCTTTCCAAAATGGGTGTAAAAGCTAATCATTGAGGATTTACGGAAGTTAGCTTGTTCAAATAGCCAATAGTATCCAGAGTTTGCGTGACTGAGTAAAGATTTATCCAATCAGGAGTCAGAAAATCTAGTTAATCCCGCCCAACTGTCAAAGCTAGTAGCAAACCAACATAGCCGCTAACTGATAAATGCTAGCACCAGGTTTGTTTTCCTATATTATGTAAGTAAATAATTTCTCTCACCTCGTGAGACACACATTCTAAAGACCGTAATTCACTGCAGTATCGACAGAAATAAAGCAGGGATAAAGGAGCTCTGATCTTTTTTTCCCCGCGAACCAGATAGACCACCCTGTCTGGCTGCAGAAGGGACGCCATCTCTGCGCTACAAAGCTCCGCCGCTGCCCGATCTGCATCAGCGCATGCGCTTCTACGTGTCTGACAGACCAGACCATAGTCTATGGACCAGACCAGAGTCTATGGACCAGACCAGAGACTATGGACCAGATTATGGACGAGGCAAGTGTTCTGCTTCCTCCCTTTGGAGTTTGACAACATTAAAATGTAAAGTAAAAGGAACAAATGAGAGTTGTTTGATCAAAAATGGTCTCTCTCACTGTCAGTTGCCTACTCTCCGAAGCCCCTTGAAAGTAAGATTAAAATCTATCTGACAAGGTCCGTTAATATTTATATAATAGTCTATTAATGATGATGATGATGATGATGATGATGATGATGATGATTATGATGATGATTATTATTATTATTATTATTATTAGTAGTAGTAGTATTATTATTATTATTATTATTATTATTATTATTATTATTATTATTATTATTATTTATTTTATTTTTTCCACCCAAAAATATCGTGAACTTGCATGTAGAGTATATGCTGTTTGTAAGATGAGTGACGCAGCTCTCCTTTTGTGAGATAAAACTGTTAAGGGACACTCAAGTAGACTAAATGCAATAAAAAGTTTCACTTTTTTAAGAAATAGCCTAGGCTGCGCAATAAAATATTTGCTTTGTAAAAACATGTTTGGTGTTCTGCCGGACTCAGTGGCTGTACAGTACGTACATACTCTTGCTTTAAGATAGAACAGTTTTTGATAGTCCAAATAGTATCTCAAATAGTAGTCTACGTGCAGTTTTAAAAAAGTACAAATCATATTCTACAGCAGATAGGTCTGCATGAATCATATAGACTATTGAACATGGACAACACATTTGTTACAACCGATGACTACATAGACATAAACAGATAGGCTTAAATAGTGGTATTTTATTACTATTATTATTATTATTAGTAGTAGTAGTAGTAGTAGTAGTAGTAGTAGTAGTAGTAGTAGTAGTAGCAGTAGTAGTATTTTATTTTATTATTTTTTTATAGACTATAGATCTAAGCTACATATCAGTTACTATTGTGAATAAGGAACAGACTGTGGAAAATAAGACTAAACATTTTCCCTTGTGTGCATTTTATTTCAAATGTAGGAGTAGGTACGTTAGCTGAGCGGCAGAGGGCGCCCTTCCCATCTCCATCCGTGGCCACGCCGCACTCCTGGGGTCTTTAAAGAGACACGTCAAGGGCGTCCGTCTCACAGAAGCTTCCAGCCCACTGTCCGCGATGGACGGCATCCCGTGGGCTGTCATCCCACTGGTTCTCTTGGGTCTGCTGCGGCCCTGTGCCGCGACACGTTCGCTCTCACAGGTAGGCTCAGATAGACACCTGTTGCTATCCATGGACTCTTTTTAGATGACATCACCTGTCTTTTTTACTGTACAAATAGGCGATTTTGTGGTAATTTAATACAACGTTTTAATTTGCATTTAAACCTAAGACAAATGTTAATATTCAGTTCCTATTTACCAAAAGTGTGTCTTAATGCTTTTTTTTACAGTGACCTTTTGCTCTGTTTACTCTGGGCTTATTTGTAACATGGCAGATGTGAGCTTCACTTAACTGCCTCACAACACTAGAATGTGCCAACAACCACGTGTGAACATGTGTTACTAACATGCTATCTTATCATGCTCCCATGCTATTTTGATCAGACTGTAAAAATCTTTACAGTAGGTGTCCATGTAGGGGTGGTGGATATGCCAAATAATTCAGGTCACATTAATAGAGATATCTATTTTTTCCTTACATTTTGGTCACTAAAGCCATCTGCTGTTTCTAAAACGTTCACACTTAACCTAAGATTTTCTTGAGCATATAGCTATATTAACTATAGAGGCAGTGACTTACGATGACATTTGCCTTTAAAACTCATGACGTATTTTGTGCAAAAAATTCATGTTGAAAATAAATGGTCTATTTGCATTTTTCATTCACACAAAAGCTTTAATTATGACTTTTATCAAGTAGTGAAAAGTGACTGGATTGTGTGTGCCACAGCGCTGTGACTCACTCAGGGCTGGCACTATTTACGAATACCAGGCAAAGACCCTGAATGGCAGCCAGACTGTCAGTTTGGATAGCCTGAAAGGAAGGGTTGTCCTCTTCATCAATGTGGCCACATACTGAGGATTCACCTACCAGTATGTGGGTAAGTAAACAGCTGCTTACAGTCATGTGTAAAAATGCATTTTTTTAGATTGGATAATTTGATGACATCACAAGGTGGAACACAGCATTTTGAGCTTTGAAAATGTAGAGAGACTAAAAATAAAGGGTTACTTCAACTGTGTGAACGACACAAAACACAACTTCAGGTAGGTTTTTGATGAGGTAACAAAATTATAACATGGCTAAAAGCTCACAAGAGTCAAGTTTGCATAATATACTACTATACCTATAATGTCATCTTTTCCTCTTGGCTGCAAAAAATAAGAATATTGATCATAAACTATAAACCCTTTTTAGAGTTTTTGTTGCACAATTTAACTAATGTAATTGTGTTTTTCTTCCCAGAACTGAATGCACTTCATGAAGAACTTCAACCACATGGACTCACAATCCTTGGCTTCCCGTCTAATCAGTTTGGGAAACAAGAGCCAGGCCAAAATCACGAGATCCTGCCAGGGTTACAGTAAGCAGATAGCATTAAAGTGCCTAGGAAAAACTATTTCACGTGGTTTCGCATTTTAAAGAGCCCATATTATGCTATTTTCTGATCTATGTTATAATGTTATTTCCTCATCAAAAACATACCTGGAGTTGTATTTTGTTTCATTCACCCATGTTTAACCCATGAATCCTACGCATTCAAGCTAAGTTCTTCTCTCAAACAGAAAACACTCTTTTCCGCCTTGTGATGTCATGTGTTTTTAAACTCCACATACTTCATTAGAATAATTTGGGTAATTCCAGCCTCAGAATTTCCAAATTTCCAAACAAAACCATTACATGACATCACAAGGTAGAACAGAGCAGTTTGAGCTTTGGAGATTATAGACAGACTACTAATACAGAATTACTGTGAATGAAACAAAACACAACTTTGGGAAATGTTTGATAAGGCTTTCCAACATGGCTTAAAGTTCATAAGAGTTAATTTACCCATACTGGTAATTTGCTGGATCAGGTATTGGTTCCATAATTTCGGTTAGTCCTTTATGAGAGATCATTTAATTTTGACTTTTTACTGGCAATCGAAATACCAACTTAAAACAAACTGTATTTGCAGAATAAATACACAACACTTTTGAATTCATTTTGTAATAAGTTAACTGTGTTTGTAATAAGTTAATTGTGGAAACATGCATTAATTTCATATAATGATTTTGATAGCGAACATCAACACACATTTCAAGTTTGGAATAAAGATTTATGTCCTGTGTTATAACTGTGGGATATCACATTCTAAACAAGAGGTATGAAAACACAGTCCTCCTTGTGCATAAAACTTAGAAATATTCCCCAGTAGTTTGCATCTGTCATCCAAATTTCTCTGTTTCTATGAGCTTTTGTGTGAATCAGAGTTTTATTTTCCAACAAGTAACATTTCACTATACGTGTAGACTATCTTGATCTGTGACAAATCAAGGATAGTTCAGTAAACCCAGCTACCGCTGGATGGCTTAACGATACACACAACATTAAATGCACAATTATTATTATCATATATTGCTATAACTTCATGGTGTAATGGGAGAATATAACCAGTCTTTAAGACATCCACATTTATATTATTTGGATCTCCTAGTGTGTGCATATTATGTTCTGTGTAGGTTACGTGCACATTGTCACATAAAAGTTAAAACAAGGGCAGGCCCAGGTGCAGCCCAAACAGGCTTTGGGTGCAAACATAATACGCTTCCATTAAATGGCATTATTTTATGTGCTTGAAATGAGGGTCAAACATTTTTAACTGAGGTTGCAATGTGAAATTCAATTTCACTATAGTACTTTTAATTAAAATGATCACTGACTGAATAACAACATCCACATTCATGTAACAGTAGAATGAGAAATGAACCATAACATTTAATCTTCGGAAACATAAAACTCTCCTAAGCTCTGGAAAAGTATTTGCAGTGTCACATACCTGAGTTTCTCTTTGTCACAGAGAATCCTTATTTAATTAAGTCCGATACCAGTTACTTCAAGTTTGGAAGGCTTAAAAGGCCCTGTAATAGTCTGATCTGTTTAAATGCCGTTTCCTCATCACAAACATACTTGGAGTTGTGTTTTGTTTCATTCCCTTATCTTTAACACACAAATCCTGTATATTTACACTGAGTTCTTCTCTCAAACAAAAAACACTCTGTTCCACCTTGTGATGTCGTGGTATTACAAGTGCTCCACTTTTGTTTTTAAACTCCATACTGTAACTACTGCTTCATGACTATTACAAGGTGGAACACAGCATTTTATTCTTTGGAGATGTAGACAGACTAATAATAAAGGATTACTCAAATATGTGTGAATAAAACAAAACACAACCCTTTTTTGAAGAGATAACATGAGAACAGCTAACATCTAAAGTTCACGAGACAATTTTGTGCAATTTTGTGGGACCTTTAAACACAAGCCATGTTTGTTTTTGTTTTTTGAGTGTAATTAAATATTAAATGTTGAATCTAAGGTAAAGTGCTACTGATATTTACTTGTTAGTTTTGTTTAACTTTCACTGTCACTGATAGGCTACTCTTTGTTTGTGTTTTAGGTACGTCAGACCAGGCAATGGATTTGTGCCAAACTTCAGGTTATTTGAGAAGGGGGATGTAAATGGACAAAATGAACAGCCAGTTTATACTTTCCTTAAGGTCAGTAATTTTTCATGTGCATTAAAGATGCAATGTGTAACTTTTCCAGTGGAGGGTCCGTCACCTCCTCGTTTTTATGGATACGCCATTGCTCTGCCTAGAATGTTCTACAGTATGACATTAAAAAGCTATACCTAACATTTATTTAACTGCAGTTGGTTTTATGTTTTTAAGAAAAAGAATTTACCAGATTTAGCAGAAGTGATTCAATTGATTTCTTAATTTTTTTAGACGCTTTTGTGTATTTGGTTTGCTCAGAGGTGGGGTTGTTTTTTTTTTTTTACGTTTCAGTCCAGATCTAAAATGTAGTGGAGTAAAAGTAAAAAGGATCCACTGTAAAATGTACCTAAGTAAAGTATAGCTACCTAAAATTTGTACTTAAGCATTGTACTTTTACTTTTGTATTTCATTACCTTCTACTACAGACTTAATATTCATTCCCTGTAAATAACAAAAATGTAAAAATCATTCACTGGTATTGTTTTTTTTTAATCTGTGCAGAGTGCTTGTCCCCCGGTTGGAGACACTTTTGGCAAAGTATCTGGCAGACTATTCTGGGAGCCACTCAAAGTGAACGACATCAAGTGGAATTTTGAGAAGTTTTTAGTGAGCCGAGATGGAAAGCCCGTGATGAGATGGCATCCCTCTGTGGAAGTGTCTGAAATTCGTACTTCCATCATCCTTTACCTACACAGCTTGTCCCAAAGGAGGCAGTAGATTAGACTGTGTAGTTGTAGTAACGTAATGGCGGGTAGATTCTGGAATAAGGAAATCTCATGTTAAATGAAGAAGGGGTTTGAAAGCAGAGCGTCTGTGGGGCCTCTTCGGAGTCTGGGTCCAGGGTAGTTCTTTTGTGCATTCAGAACTGCCCTGCTAAACCCAAGAGCATGCCATTTCCTTCCAATACCAGCACCTATGAGCCATTCACGCTTCCATGTTAATTACGTTCAATAAATCATAGTAGAAAAGATGTGTTGTGTAATTATTTATAACTAACTAAACAATGTTATTAAACGAGGTGTGGAAGCTTGTATCTGTCAGTTGTAAATCAATATGGGGATAAAAGTTGAGAAAAGTTGTAGTAGTTGAATGCTAATCTCACTGATAAGTACAAACAGCTCCTAACAAAATATTGTTTACATTAGATATAGTTGTTGCTGATGGACACTAATTAAGCCTTCGTTTGCACAATCCTTCGCATGTGTTGTAAAAGGTTGTGGCTGAAGTAACTTTAACTTTCTCATGGGATCCTATCTTAAATATACCTCCTAATGTGCCATTTTACTGGTTTGGACGGTTTGGATGTGGACAGACCGTGACCAGTAGGTGGGCTGGTACCATTTTGTGAGTTGTCATAGAGATGACACTAACACATCACAAATTGTTGTTTATCCAGATTGCGTTTTAACACTAGTGTAACATGCAAGGTAAGGTAAGTTTATATGTATGCAGGCCAGAAATTTAGGGGCCCGAGGGCAAGAAGATTCACATGGGTTCCCCTATAATATAAATTACAAGGCAGAGGTTCCACTTTTGGACCCCTAAGACCCTGGGGTCTGGGACAACAGACCTCTTTGCCCCCCACCTTTTCACTGAGATACAAAGGTGACAGAGAAGTGCAATGTAAATGTTGCACCAATTCAATTCAATTCAAAATGCTTTAGAGAATAAGAAATAAAATCACAATATAAAATAAACATATCAAACATCAAAACATAAATAATCATCATAAAATTAGCATTAGAAGAGAAGAGAGGAAAGTACGGGATAAAAACCGCACAGCTAAACAGAATCGTTTTGAGCATGGATTTAAACTGCATTGCATTGTATAACTTTTCTGGTGGAGGGTCTATCAAATGTTTTTCTCAGTGGAGATGTTATTGTTTGGCCTGAAATGTTTCATAGTATGGCATTAAACCTTTCTACTTGAATACATGAAAGGTAGATCTGTTTAATGTCATGGTGTGGAGCATTCGAAGCAGAGCAATGACATTTATAGAAGATGGGTTCCCAACCAAAATGTTGCATAGTGCACCTTTAAACATAGTCCAAGTATAGCCTGTCTCACATGTTCAGGAAGACTGTTTCAGGTTTTGGCTGCATAAAACTCCCATAAAACATTGACTTCCCATGTTTAGTTCTGACCAGGACTCAGCAGGATGCCGCATGTGAGACGGTTCATATGGCACTTACATGTCAGAGATGTTATTAACAATATACAACTTTTAAGACAAAAAATATAACAGCAAAAAGTGGGAATAAATTAACTGCTATTACCATCCTCTGTGTTCTTTATCACACTACTCCTGCACACTGTTAATTTGCAAAAACATATTACTTCATTTTGAAAAATAATCTATTTTAGAGACTTAATTTTACAGCTAATAATGAACCTGAAGTTGAGTGGATTTGAATGTACAACACTGAGTAAATTATAAGCACTATTTGTGTTTTAAATTTGTGCTTATGTGTTTTTATTGTTGCCTTTTACTGTTTACTTAACCAAAGAAATATAAAAGTGTTGTTCCAAGTACATATTTGACCTCTGCGAAGTTAAATATCTTAGTCCTGAGATCTCATTATATTATTAGATCCATTCTCTGAACTCAAGTGCCTCCGTATGTAGGGTCAGAAAACTTGCACTTTGTCGCCCCCATGTGACAGCAGCTGTGTCTTACAGTAAACCAGTGCTTCTCAAATAGTGGGCCCCCCCTGGGGGGGCGCGAGGCTCCGTCAAGGGGGGCGCGTTTGACCTCGGGGAGCATGCTTTTTTATTTTTTTATTTTGATTTTTTTTACTGTCTTAAGGGCCGTTCACACCAAAGCGTCAAAAAACGCCTTGACGTCTCTATTTGGAGCCTTTGCATTTGAGTTTAGACGCCCCCGACGCGCATCTTTGACGCGGTGGACAAACGGGACAAAAATACTTGACGCACGTACGTTGCCCTGGAAACAAGAGCCCGGTCCCGCTCTTTTCCCGAAACAATATCAGACCAGACTGAGAGAGTGTTTTTATGACATAAAACATCAAAGGAGGAGATCGGGTCGACGACTGGGGCGAGTTTATATTTATACTCCGCTAATGACACTGGATCAGTCCCGGTCTAGTCCTGGTCTAATACCGGTCTAGTCCCGGTCTGGTCCCGGTCTAGTCCCGGTCTAGTCCTGGTCTAATCACGGTCTAGTCCCGGTCTGGTCCCGGTCTAGTCCCGGTCTAGTCCTGGTCTAATCACGGTCTAGTCCCGGTCTAGTCCCGGTCTAGTCCTTGTTTAGTCTCGGTCTAGTCTCGGTCTAGTCTCGGTCTAGTCCTGGTTTAGTCCTGGTCCGGTCCTGGTGTATTCCTCGCGATCGGCTCGGTGATTGTGGCGTATATATTTATTCTCCGTTCATGTTTGTGGTTCTCGTTCTGGTTCTCGGGTCTTTCTTCCTGATAATAACGTCGCTGCGTCTCTGGATACTCGTCCCTGATTGGTTGACGCGGCGCGTCTGACGCGAAAAGTTCAGCATTTTCAACTTCTTGACGCTTACGCCTTGGACGCGCGTCTTGGCCGCTGACGCCAAAACGCTGAAGACGCGCTGCGCTGACGCCAGATTCGCGCCGCGCTGACGCCGAAAACGCGCCGCAAAAACGCAGGACGCTCTAGTCGCGCGTCCACATAGACTTTACATAGAAAGTGGACGCTTTGACGCTTTGGTCTGAACGGGCCTTTAGAATAAAGTGCAATTGCACTTCCACTACATTAGGGGGCAGTGGCGCTCTCATTGGCAGAGTGTGCGCAGGGAGCATTCGCTCGGTGGTGTAGGAGTTTTGTTTGCACTGAGCATGCGCGCTTTGCACACAGCACAGAGTTTGAGTATGAAGTGTAGACACGAAGGCTGTGTCCCAATTCGAGGGCTGCAGCCTCCGAAGGCTGTGAAGGCTGGGTCCTTCGTCGGCCGCGAAGGCTGCAGCCCTTGAACTGGCCTCCGCGGACCGCCAGGCCGTTGCGGAAATGGGACAGGTCTAGACCTCAGAGCCACTCCCCTGTCGCCTAGCAACCGAGGGACGCTGCTAGCGCTAATGCTAATGCTAACACGCTCCGCGCAGATTCCACACACGGATCAGTAAAAAGACGCACAGGTCATCAAACTGTCGGATTTTGTGACCAAATTATTTTAATAATTCGCATCCAAATCTTATGGCCAAAACCGAAAATGTATGTTTAACTTTTGCAAAACAAAACGGCTATATTTAAGGGATACATTTTAAATAGACTAAATTATCTTAAAATAAAAAAAAACTGTGATGAGATATGCATTACTAAATATTATCATTATTAAGGATTTTTATATTGACCAGGGATTACATTTATACAGTCAGTTTGTAAAGAAAGAAAGACATCTCTCCTGAGAAAAGATGATTTATTAAACAATCCAAGGAACTTCTGGAAATACTTTATCATAATATGAAGTCAAATATTAAACCCATTACACACACTCTGCATTAACAAGTTAGTACAAACAGCTGTATGTCAGTAAATCTCATTGTGTTCCCTTTTTGCTGAAGCAAGTGACAATCAAAAATGAACAAATTATCTTTGCCAGATATGGTCATGTGGAATACCACAGCTTATCTGCAGTACAATAGTACATTCTTATAGTACATGTAATTAGTTACTATCAAAAGAGACACCAAATAAATGGCACATTTCGCCATAAATCAAATGTCAGTACAGGCTGAAAAACATTCAGAAACACTTATGAGCAGATGTTTTCATTTCTGTCTCACACACTTGTTCAGATCATATGAGACTCTGGACCTGCTCCTCAGAGACTCTGGACATGGACAGTGGAGACATGGACAGTGGAGACATGGACAGTGGAGACATGGACATTGGAGACATGGACAGTGGAGACATGGACAGTGGAGACATGGACAGTGGACTTGGACCACTCAGTGTGATGTGTCTCTCGTCTTCTGGAGGAGGAAGAGCAGAATGGTTGTTGCGTCTGATTGATTCAAAGTTCTGTCCTGTAGAGTGAAAACCTGTAATGACACACACATTAAGAACACAAAACTATTAGAGGAAAGTAAGTTTCAAAGAGCATGCAGCCCCAAAGAACACCTGGACTCCCTCCGCACTATTTACATTTATTATTATTTATTTATACGCAAGGGAGTGAGAAAAACAATTTCGATTCTTTATATGTTTTTGTATGAAGAATTGACAATAAACTATTTTAACGTTGAACTTAAACTTTGATGTACATTCAGATTCAAAGGCAGTTTATATCTGAAACAGCTAAATGAATAGAGGAATCCCACACATTTGAGAAATGCATATTTTCACAATTTAAATCATAATTTCAACATGAGCATGATTCATTTGCAGCTCTTATTAGTACAATTTTCAATGTAACATGCCCCATACCTAATCGTTGGCAGGAGTCTGGGTCAGCACCTCCAGCTCAGTGTTGGCTTTACTTTGTCATCTGCATTTGACCCATTTTATGAATCACAAGCATCTTGTCAGCCAACAGTTCTGTGGCCCCTGCAGTGTGCCGTGTCCTCATACAGGAGGCTGCAGATGAGAAAAAAAATTCATGTAAAACAGATTTCTCATTGTTTATAACATTAGATGTGACAGACCTAACAGACACAGTCAGGTCGTATCTACACCAGGTCGTATCTACACCAGTGTCTGCACAAATCTGTTAAACGAGCCTCATGTCCATCATAAATCTGACCTGTCCAGGCAGGATATTATATACTCTTCACTTTTACAAACATGCACGGATTGTTAAAAGCAGATAATGTATTCCCTGAATGAAATGCACACGTTGGAGGCATATATTATGTGATTTACAAGTAAATATGAGCTTTGATAGAGTCAGACTGAGTCTTTTTTCAGCTGAATGTATGAAATAATGTGTGTTTCATCTTAACTCCGAGCTACACTGACCAACTGTTTACATGTTTACACTGTCCGTGAAAACGTGGAGTTTTCTCCTCGTAGCTTCTTTAAATCACTCTGTGAGCTTCTTTTCCCCTAACAGTAAAAACATGATGAGTGTTTGATGGAAATGTGTCCAAATATGAAAGTTTGAGCGGACTTTTCATCGCATTAGCTGCACATTACTAGGCAAACTTTAGCTCAAAACTCCGCGGTTCACGCAGTTAAAAACAAACTTATTTGACAGTTTTGTGGGACTTATGGTCGTATTTTACGTTTACAGTTGTGATAGTAATGATTTCCTAAAGTTAAAAGTGTTACTCACATGTTTTTCTCCGCTCTCGGGACCGGCTTTTTGCTCCGTGTTTTCGAACATCTGACTGCCGCCGCGCGGTGCATGCTGGATACTGAAGGCTGCGAAGGATACTCGGATGTGTCCTCCGTTCGCGGCCCCATCTCCATGGAAACGAGGCCGGTTTTAGGGCTGCATTTGAAGGCTGCATGACATAAAAATGAAATGGGACAGGCCTTCTTTCACCGGAAGTGACGTATGCGGCCTTAAAACCAGCCTTCGGAGGCTGCAGCCCTCGAATTGGGACACAGCCGAAGTGTAGCAGACCCTCAAGTGACACCATGAAAAAATATTTAACAGGGATGAGAAGACAGGTGGAGAGAGACGGAGATAAAGACACAAACGAAAATCTCCCAAAAGCTAAGACGAGGAAATATGATGAAGCGTATGTAGCGCTTGGCTTCACTGTGACTACGGTGGGAGACGAGGAAAGACCGGTGTGCTTACTGTGTCTAAAAATGTTGGCAGCGGACAGCATGAAGCCCAATAAATTAAGGCGTCACTTAAATACATTACACCCCAATCACTCTGATAAGCCGCTTGAGATTTTTCAGCGAAAACGTGCCGAATATTGCAGACAATCATCCCGCATTTCCTGACTGCTACTTCAGTAAACCAGCGAGCGTTGTTGGCGTCATATAAGGTGGCAGTGTTACGCACAGGTGTACTTATAACAATTTTATAGACAAATGATACTATCTATAGTCACGCGGGGGGGCGCGAGATGTTTTATTCGTCCTAGGGGGGGCATGACAGAAAATAATTGAGAAGCACTGCAGTAAACCAAGGTGAGTTGGAAATTGCTGTGAAATATCAGATAATAATCGTAATATATATATATATATATTTTTTTTTTAAAGTACATATAATTTGTTAATCAAATCAAATATAAAAAAACATAATTCATAAAAATAACAGGTGTTAACAATATACAATCTCACGCACATACATAGTAATTGCTACAATTGCTATACATGATACATAGTAATACATTTGCTATGTCCAGCTTAATTCCCAATTTCTAACAGTATAAGCTTCAAGCTTTTGCTCCTGATAATAATAATAACAGCATCTTTAAAGGAACACTGTAAAATGAACATACAATACAGACAGTGTTTACAGTGTGTTGGCGCGCTGAGCTGCCTGACGGCGACAGTGGAGATGGACATAGATCGGGTGAATGAAAGCCAAAAGACTCAAAATGGTCAAACCAACGTTCACCTGCCGCAAGAAGAGAAAATCAGTGAAGTGAGTTTTGTAAACAACTGAAGTCACATTTAAAATATGTATTATAATAGTTTTGAACTCACGTAAAACGGGTCTCCGTTTAAAACATCTTTTACCAGTGTTACACAAGGATACTGCAGGATTGAAAACAGGGCAGACAAAGCCATAACCAGGCCATACAGCTTTCCAAAGTGACATGATGGGAAACTACAGCACAAAAACCAGGCATGAATATAACGCATACATGGAGCATTTGAGTGCTTATTTGTAATGGTTCAAGGTTGGACTATATCATGGACTCAAAGTTTGCAACTAGTCCTAACCTCTTAAATAAGTCTTAAGAGGTTAGGACTTTAATAAGTCTTAAATACAATCCCTGAATCATTCTTAAACCGTTTGTTCATTATGAATTAAGTCTTATTACTGCTGTAAATATTGTAGTTATTATAAGTATTACAAACAAACAAATAAACTAAACTAAACCTATATGTGGAATACCATAGACTGTAAATATGTGGGATACTCACGCCACACTGATAAAGGCCGCGTTGCCACCATAGAGAAAGGAGCGGTTGAGCACCTGTAGAATAAAGGTGGCGTACTGTAGCGGCAGAGAGGGGATGGTTGCACACAGAGAAAACATCACACACTGAAATGCCGTCAGGGCCAAAGACAGCACCGAGGCTCTGAGGTCTGCATCACGCTCACTCTCTCCTGCAAAGACAAAAGCACTTGAAGGAACTGTATGTAACTGCACATTTTTTTTAAATGTACTACAATCACAACTGAACCTGGGTTATCATAGAGGACACAGTTTTCTTCTGATTCTCACTATACGGACCGCATATACTGCACCTGCAGATGCTGCACTCGCACTGATTAATGATGCCGCAGGTGCTGGGCTTTACGCAGTGATGATTCAGATTAGAGAGACTAGGTCATGTTTATGGAATTTAAAATCAAAATCCAGCTAAGCAGGGCCAGGCCTGGGTAGTACTTGGATGGGAGATTACTGGGAACAACAGGTGCCAGTGGGGCGCCACTGGCAAAAACTGCCATTGTGTCCTTAGGCAAGACACTTCACCTGCATTGCCTAGTAAGAAAGTGGTGTGTGTATGAGTGTTAGTGGTGGTCAGAGGGGCTGATGGCACAGATTGGCAGCCTCTCTTCCTTCTTTGCACTTTGGGTGTCTTGAAAGGCGCTATATAAATAAGATTAATTAATTAATTTTTTTTTTTAAATTAAGGTGTCATTACAATCTCGATATCAGGTAGCCTGTTTTTATTTTCTTATAACAGCACCACATTGCATCATAATACTTCTGCTTACTGATATCCACTTCTCTTACTGTGGTTACTCTTTACGACCAAATATAAATTTAACAAGGAAAAAGGACACGTGATTAGAGTCAGTAAATAGTACTACAACCAATGTATGACACACTTCCTCACATTAAATTGTTTTGATACATAACCTTCTGAAATTTTTTTTTTTTTATTTATATATTTGCAGTAATTGGTAAACTTTTGACTCGAAACCAATACATTGAGTGGACTATTCAACTAAAAGATTATTGTCCTGGGTGTACCTCGTTCAGTGGCGGATAAAGTACTAAATTTTGTAAAAGTAAAAGTACAGATACAAATGTAAAAAGTTACTCAAGTAAAAGTATCACATGAAAAAAAATCACTCAAATAAAAGTATTAAAGTACCTGTCTAAAAATTTACTTTAAGAGTAAAAAGTATTTTGCAGAGATTTTGAAGATTCATTAAAGGATGAAATATTGTGATTTTGACCTCGTTTATGGCACATAGTTACTAAGACAGGCCCTAGATAGTAACATGAATGCTGTCTTTATGTGAAAGTATGATATATGAGTAAAAAGTTTTTTATTGTATTGAGTGTTACCTGGAGCTCGGGGTCTGCCCTTGTGTCTGTCCATGATGAGGCCATTCCAGGGCGCACACAGAACTCCACACAACTGAGTGACAGCAAATGCATTGATGTACTGGCTCACTGCAACAAACAAATGTAATTATTTCATCATTTTATAAAACACACCAATATGCAGAAGAGGTGAATATTAAATAAACACTCAATTACAAGTAAAATAATGATACATATGATTGCTTCTTTACTTTCTTGCACTTTATAACTTTTGATGTAGGGACAGCCTCTTATTTGTTTTCATGGAGCTTACTTTGCCAGGAATTTTTTATCTCTATGGAAACAAGCAGATAGCATCAGGACAAGTTACAAATCTGATCTGTGGAGAGACAAACCCACTCACAGTATGCATATTTTCAAGGTATGCTATACAGTCATCCCAAGCTATATCGCGGTTCACCTTTTGCAGTCTCGCTGTTTTGCAGATTTTCTTTTAGTGCAATTTAGCATGTTTTTTTGTCAAGCAATCTCCTCCGTGCCGTGGATCCAGTACAAATGCATTCAGCTGCCAAATTTTACATAAATGTTTGATCGCTAGCAGTGTGGTTCTGAAGACATTTTCTCCCTGACAAAATGCACAGTTGATAACACGTTCTGCACTGACAAAGTCTCCTGTGGTCGCACCCAAAAGGCAGAGGAAGACAATCATCGCACAAAAAGTTGGACTTCTGGACATGCTGAAGGAAGGTAGAAGCACTGTAGCAGAGTCCTGCACCAGGCAGGTTTTAACATTTTGGAAGTTTAGGGGCAGGTATGCATGCGGGCAGTGCCGGGCAGACCTCTGTGCCAGAACACTGGTCCTTTCTCCTGTGGTCACCCCGAGCCTATCCCGACAGTGAGTCCTGGCTCAGTTCTGGTTTAGTTCTGGTTTACTCCTGTTTTAGTCCTGTTTTAATCCTAGTTCAGTCCTGGTTTATTCCTCCTGTTTCAGTCCTGGAATCAGTCCTAGGTTAGTCCTGGGTCACTGCTGGGTCAGTCCTGGTTTAATCTTGGTTCAGTTCGTGGCGTATGCAGCGCAAAAGTTTGTTATCTTGGGTTAACAGGCGGGTGCGGTGCTGTACTGCACGGGTGTTGGTCTCCAAAAATTGACCCGTGCAGGACTCTGCGCTGTAGGGCTCCATTACGGAATTAATTAATCTTCAGTTCATTACATAAAGAAGGATGCAAAAAGGGTTAACTGTCCTGTGTGAGAAAAGTGTATAAAGTGTGTGGTGAGGGGTGTTACAGCCTTAAACATCTAAAATAATTGTAAAATATAAAGTTGACTACTTTGGGGATTTCACTTGTCTCGGGTTATTTTTAGAATGTAACCTACACGATAAACGAGGCAACACTGTACAATGTTGTTTCACAATAATAAAAAAAAAAATGCCTGTAACTGAATGAATATACATATACAGTATAGGTGGTATACTGTCAAACATTGTAGGCAAAGTGGCAGACACCCCACCAGAAAAGTTACATAGTGCATCTTTAATACTAGTCAGTGAAATTCATACCCAGCTAAATCTAATGTTTATTAACTATCTCCAACCCAATATCAGTCCAGGGAAATACAACTTAAGTAAATCTACAGTTCATGACCCAGTTTGACTCCACTTTTCACTCTTCCTCTGTGCATACATACGATGCCATCACAGAAAAAAATGCCATAGTACCCAGTGTAGGTTCCCCTGCTGTGAGCCTCTGGAGCATTGGGTTGAGTGTGCCGATAAACAGATAGTGGCGCAGCTGCATCACTGATAACCAGATGAGGTGCCAAAAGAAGAACCATGACAGCAGGCACTCACGGAAACTCCTCTCTGGGACAACAGGAGATAAGGAATAAGTTATTAGCACAACTGAACCAAGTCATGTCTCATTCAGCTCAGCTAAGTGATTTCAGTGCGGTATGAATACAACTAGAGAAATCATAAATTCTGTTGCTATGGCAATTGTAACGCCCATCTTGTGATTGTAAGAATTCTAATAGAGTTATGTTAAAACAGAGCCACATATTGTACTGATTTAAAGGACATGTATCCAATTTTTTTGCATGTATTTGAGAACACTTTCTTCTGCCCTAGATATGTTGAATAAGCAGCTCCTGAGGTCAGCTGCGTTCTGTTTGCAACCAATTTTAAAGCGTTTTATTGTCCGAAAATCAAGACGTTCATAATTAGCATGCTAGTTGTTGTTAGTTTTACCGTGACTGCAAATTACTATCATGATTTGAAATCATAAGGCCAGTGAAAAAAAAACTGTAAACTGTTTAAAGTGGGACAGCTAAACCCACAAGCACAAACACATTTCAAACAGAGTTTCTAAACTGGATGGAGCCTGTGTACTAAAGAAAAGATTGGGTAGGAGGGCAGGCTCTGAGGGTATGAGGAACAGTATGATTGATTGCACAGGAAACCACCCTTTAAACTCTGCCCCTGCAGCCAGGTGTTTTAGAAACCCATGCCTGTAGTCTGGGCAGTCCTGTGTGATGTCACCAACTACTAGAAACTGCAGAAGCCAATCAAGGCAGCATAAACTTAAATTTGGATGTTTTCAACCAGCAAGTTGCAAATTTACACAACATCCACTAATGTTGAAAAAAAAGAACAGGAATATTAGATAATACTATTAAAACACCACATTGATTTAGTGTTTAGTCCAAACTCACAGCACTTTTAAGACCTTGAAATGTGCCTTTCACTAAATTCTTAAAATCAATATTCACTGGTCTAAACTGTGTGTTTCATGAATATGTGAGGTGTATTTTTAGACCTTGTTTTGGAGTGATGTCAGTTTTTAGCTGCGTTTCTTCTGAAGACGCTTTCTCAGAGCCGTTCTCTGTGGATGACTCTAAACTCAGAGACTGGGATCGGCCACAGGAAATCCTGACAAGAACAAGGTTTATACTGAAGTCAATCAGAGTGCACCAGTGTAATTATTATCATGAACCTGTGTGTCTGTTTCAAGTTTTTTTAGATTATTGTTTTAGCAATTCACAAAGAAAGAAGAATGTCAACCAATGGCTTTTGACCCTAACAATGGAAATGAAATGTGTAGATCTAAATATGTTTCTATTATGAAAGCATTAAGACAATACAGATATATACATTTTTGACAAAAATATGAAATAGAACGTTTGAGATCAGAACCACCACTACAAAATCATACACTGCATGCATTTTAATCATGTGTAGTCTATACACCATGTTAAAATCTAATTGTATGCTACTTGTATAACTTAAAAACCCCAAATGTAGGGGAGTGTGTGTGTAAATTGAAATGTAGTTAAGGTTATAGAAACAAGTAATTTGAATTTAAATGTTTTGTTTGCTTGTTTCTATAGATATGCCATTGCTCTGCCTGGAATGTTCCACAGTATGACATAAAAACTACCTTACATTTGTTCAATTAGAGTTGGTTTTATAGTTCAAAAATACCTTGACAAACAGGCATTCTGAATGTGAACAGGCTTGCCTTTCCACAGATCTGTAACTGGAACCTGTCCTGGTTTGGCCTCCATGAAGACAGAAGAGGTTTAATGGCATACTGTGAGACATTCCAGACAAAGCAATAGCATCTCCATGGAGAAAAGCATTTGACAGACCCTCCACCAAAAACATTACACAATGCACCTTTAATATAGATTATAGTGCATAAAAGTAAGTTTGAGTCATACCCATAAGTGTATTGCTCTGGCAGTGGGTAGGGGATGAATTTTCGAGGTAGAAGGAAGAAAGTCCTGAGCATATGAATGACACTACAGACTGACAGAAACAGAAACGAGACGCGGAGGGAGACACCGGTCTCATGTAAAAGCTGAAATAAATGAAATAATCAAATTAGCACTTTAAACAACTAAGAATAAATATGGATCTTATTTATTAATTTTTTTTTACCTTGATGATTAGGAAAAGAGCAGAGGAAGAGTCAAATGCTCCGTTGTACAGTGTGATGATTGTGGAGCGGCGAGCACCAAACAAGTTTCCCACCTTTGCAAAACAAAATGAAGATTATTCAGTTATCAGAGCATTCAGGGGTTTAAGTTGTTACATGGTGCCATTTTGGGGACAGCTGTAAAACAGTCCTAACGTTTCATCTTTCTGTAACACATTGGATGATATGATATGCATGATATGGATGATAGAGCATACATGGGACTGAATGGAGGTAATCCCAAATATATATTTTATATTGTTAAAGTTATTTCCTTCATTAAAAAAATCAAAGATGCAGAAAAAAAACAAAACAAAAAAACTACAATACATGATAAAAAAGTACCACAGAACAACAAAACACTAACACCACAATATTGTATTATAACTACTGCTACTTTGTAATGTGTAATATACTGTACTACTATACAACTACAACTACTCACAATGCCTGGTGTTTGTCAGTGATCTGCTTACTTGCATATTTGTCATTAGGAGTAAGAGTCCACCCACTGCCAGAAAAGACATAGCTGGAAATAGCAGGTTGGAGAGAACTGGTGGGAAAAGGCAATAATTAGATCTATGAACAAATAGAAAACAGATCACAGACTTAAATTGTAACTGATTATACCTGCAGAGGAAAATGCCACCAATAATGTGCCCATAGTGTAAAGAAATCTGGGAAGACAAAGAAAGGGTTAAATATGTCATTATTTAAACATGCCACAAAACTATTCTCCATCTGGCTCACAGTGTAATGGTCTAGAGACAGTTTCCAGCTTGCTGGGAAGTAACGCGTACCACATCTTGAAACAGAAAATGTTTTTGGACAAACAGTCCAAAAGCTGAATGTTGAAAAATAAAAATATGCCCAAAGGTGGCCAAGTTCAACAGATGGGAGGACATTGGGGTGAATTTATTTTATGTAGGTATGTTTTGCCCTCCTCTATAACCTTTTGCCCTCCTTCATAAGCAGTATATGTTTATTAGCCCAGATTATGTCAAAATCCCAAATAACAAAGTGTCATAACAAAACCAATGTGTTTTTCATTAAAATGGGAGGAGGAACAACAAAAGAGAAGGAATGTTATGAATGTTAGATGTGAAGTCAGTGAGAGGAGAGGATAAAGTCAGACTCGGCGCACAGGAAATTAAAATGGGTCACACACAGAGAAAGGTGTTTATTTTTAAGGATCGTATGTTGAAAATTTCTATTAATTGTTTAAAGAGTAGGAGTGAGCGGGTGGCCAATCAAAATTATTCTATTCGTACTATTCACAGTGCCTGGTTCATCTACAGTAAGAATCTGAATCTCAAATATTATAATAATGGCTCTATCTGAATAAATCATTGAAATTTTACGGTTACATGATATATATACATGTTATATTTTTACTGTTCACCCTTTAAAATATATAATATACTGATCCTTGCCATAGCTTGAAACCCATGAATAGTATTTCAATAGTAGGTTTGTACAAGATGTAAGTTACCTAAAAAACATATTATTTAACTTTCAACCCCCCTGGATTTTTCCCAAGGTCAGATATGAGTCAGGGGCAACAATACAGTATGTTTTCTTAGTTTCATGCTTAAGGCACCTCACACTCCGTAAAGAAACCAGTGAATGTCAACAGACTAAATATGCATTCAAAAACAGAGGCAATACTTTCCATTAGTTTGTTAGAATCTTGTTCTGTTTTAGTAAAATAAAGGACTAGTAAATGGGTGAGAGAAAGAAAGAGAGAGAGAAAGAGGGAGAGAGATCCTTTATTGATCCGAAGGGAAATTCAAGTTTAAAAAAATTCACACTGTGCTTCTCACTGGTCAAGTAGGGTCAGCAGATCCAGGGCAATTTATAAGAGACTTGGAAAATATCATAATTTGGGTTAAACAGTACAATAACCCAATGTATTCCATGGTGGTACTTGGTTTACTTCACATGTTAACCTTTGTCTTTTCTTTACTTTACAACTGCCTTTACCTTACTTTTGGGGTTATGACCTCTAGTTTGTGTGAGTTACACATTTGTCACTGGACTTACATCGCAAAGAGACGAGCCACAGTAGTCCCAAAGCGGTCAAACAGGAAACCATTGGGCAGAGTTAGAAAGTTGTTCATGAAAGATGCAATAGTAAAGACCAGAGAAAACTGCTCATCCTGCCCACGGCAATCTGCAAATAAACATAAAAAATATGCAGAAGAGTATTGTCAGAATTAGTTAAATCATGCAACTCTAAGAGAACCAAAATTATAGTGATCAAAATACATAATAATTAATAAAAAATATTCAGTGACCCATCATTTTGATGTGTTCTTTTACATTGATCTCGGACCATTATATCACCATTTGCTTGTCTCCATGGACATAGATACGTTTATGCCACACTGAGGAACATTACAGGTAAAGCAATAACATCTTTATGGAAACAACCAGGTGGCAGAAGCACAAAACAGGAATTCATGTCACCTGTTGCTACAAATCTCTGGTCATATGTGTTGAGAAAAGTTAATAATTTAAATAAACTGACCTAGTGTGTGGGTGCCGTTTATTGTGGAGTTTACACACAATGAGCTGAAATATCCTTCACTTTTAAGAACAAAAACAAGGGACGCCCATCCGAATATTGCCCCAGCAAAACACAGGCATTCAACTAGACCGGTCGCAAAGGTGAGCCATCTGCGGACATCTGAACAGCTCCTCAGACACAGCATTGTTCCAGTCTGAAGAAATTATGGTCAACCTAAAAGACACGCAATAGAAATACATGAAGTGAGTCAGTTGTGTAATTGCTGTATGATGTCTCTGCAGGTTGACTGTCTGTCTCTTGTATTGTAAATGGTGTATTTGCTTATTGAGCAATGTTATATTTTATGCTTTTTTTGTTTGTTTGTTTAAGGAGGACATTAACTTCTGCCATGGGACTACAAATAAAAATATTTTGGCATGTTTAAAGAAATTTTCATTAATATGCCCTGCCCCTGAAATAATAAATACATAAATAAACATGCCCAACAGTATGTGCCAGTTATCATTCAGTCATAATTATTTTAAAGGTGCATTGTGTAACTGACACCTGCTTGTTTCTATGACTATGTAACTGATTTGCCTGGAACAGTTCTACCTTGCATATTGCATACTCAATTACAGGTTAATTTATAGCTCAAAAATATCTGCATTTTGACTGTGAGCGGGGTTGCCTCTCCAGAAACCAACAAGCTACAAATCGCAAGCATTTAAATGATCTCAAATACTGATAGAACATAAATATTAGCCCGCTTGGTTTAGAATGGAAAATATTCAAAATATGTACACATTGAAGACTACTTGTAAATTATGCAGATACATTTTCTGTGTGGAACAAAACTACTATTTGAAGCACATTTAAATTACATGTAAGAGTAAAAAAAAAAAAAGTTAACAAAGACATAATTTAGTATGTACTTACAACTCAAGCTCTGAAGGATAATTTCTCAGACCACTGCTCCCCATACCGCTGTAGTTTTCTTTATATAAGGCCAAGTCTTCTCTTCCTCTTTCTCCTTAGTTGCACCTCCCTCTCCATTTCCTGCACCGCTTTTACTCATTATCTGGCCACAAACTGCAGTCATGACTGATCCAGGAAAAAAGGGTCAGCAAACCCGGTGTCACTGGGACCAAAACATGCATTAAGTCATCAATAGGCAGCCTGATCATGTCACTTTTAAAAACATCTACTGTATGAATAATTTTGTAATATATGTTGTAATTGTCTGTAATGCCAATCAACTAGATTAAGCTTAAAGGTGCATTATGTAACTTTTCTGCTGAAGGGTCTATCAAATGCCTTTTACTTTGTTATTACTTTGTATGGAATGTTTTGCAGTATAGTATTAAACATTTCCATCATCATGAACACCAAACCAGACCAAGTTACAGGTCAGATCTGTGGAGAGCCAACCCTGCTCACAATCAGAATGCCTGTTTTTCTAGATATTTATGAGACAGAAAAAAAACAGTAATTTAAGAAATGCAAAATTGTGCTGTTTAATGTTTTAGTGTGGAATCTTCTAGGAAAAGCGATGACATATTCATAGAAACAAGCAGGTGATTGCCCACCAACCAAAACGTTATACAGTGCACCTTTAAATTGACCTTTAAATTGTGACAAAAGACAAAATTACTATATTACTACAAATCCAAAATATAGAGGCAAAGAAAACTGTTGAACTGACAAAAATCATTCTTGCCATAGGCATTTGTAATATATATACTTAGGAAAAAAAATAAATGTAAGATTTAGAGTTTAATTAATGCAACAAATCTAGTCATTTGCATGTCTTAAAAATATCGGCCATGGTTTATAAAACTTACAACATTTTAAATATACCTCTTGATTTATTGTTATTATTATTTGGCATTACTGATCAGACATGAAAAAGAGTAACTGTAGCATAACTCAGACATCTAAAATTAAAAGAAAAGGAAAAGAGATAAGTGTGGCTTTTTTTTATTGGTTGCAATTACTATTATTATTATTATTATTATTTTAAATTTTTGGGGGGATTATGTCTTGGCAGCTAAGGCTATATGGATATCAATAACTGCAATTTATGTTCCGCTCATAAGACTTCCATAACCATTCTTTAATATAACCCCAGCATCACACATCACAAGATGGCTTTTTACACATACAAGTGGCACGCACCAACTATACTTCCTAAAAACACTATTTGTCACATGACTATTGAGAAACATATGACTGCATAATCAATGATAAAAGTCCATTTGAACATAATCACACAAGACTGAATAGCCAAAGGTTATTCTTAAGTTTGTAAAAGTGGAACAATAATTCATTTTCAAAATTCCAATGCAAAGCAGGGCTAAAAAATACACCTTTTCATGTAGGATATTACATTTTTGTTCTTGTTTTTCCTTTAGAGAAATTTGACTTCTGCATTTCACCCATCTTCCCATTGGGTAGCAGCAGCATCTACAGACCCATCCCCAGATATTGAGCCTTCTTGGTCACAGATAATTATCAGGCTTTGCCTACTGTGCTTGTTTTGAGGTGATGGGGGATCCAGAGTACCCAATGGAAAAACATTCAAACACAGGCAGAACGTGCAGAACATGCAAACCCCACGCAGAAAATCTGTCCGCCACCTGGGAGTTGAAACCTTAGACTTTCTTTCTGTGAAGAGTACCATGCAGCCACTTGCACAATTCCTTTGAGATCTTATACAAGGTTAAGGTTTATTTATAAAGCATGTTTAAAATACAAAGATTTGCTTATCTCAATTGTGACTCTGAGGTTTTTTACATAGGGACATCTATTGGAAGATGAAAGGCCAAGCTCTGGTCATTTTCACAATAACTTCAGTTTTACTTTAATTTAAATTGAACATTTAAACATTAGATTTTCTGACATGAATTGCTTTCTGGTGGTTTGTACATCATCCGCAAAACAGTGAGAGCTCAGTGGGTGGGTTAAGGGGGCTTTAACAGAAGAGAAAGGCCCTATAATTACAGAGAAATGTTTTCCTGAGTAAAATGTCATGGTCAAATTTTTCAAAAGCTGCAATGAGATCTAAAAGTACTAAAACTGCGGGTTTAGTCCATTAAAAATAAATAATTAACATTTTTAAAAGGGCAGTTTCTGTGCTGTGGCTTGATTTCAAACCAGATTGAAATTTATCTGCTATTTCATTTCGAAGCAGATAAGATTTTAGTTGGGAAGCTACAAGAACGAGTTTTGATTGGATCACAAAGTCTATCATAGATCAACTGTTATTACAGTTTGTTTTGTGTGATGTCTGAATAATTTGTTCATTATTTTAGCATAATAGCTTGAGTAAAACATTTAATTGAGTTACAACCTATTACGCCAGATCTTTTTCAATATTGTGATAATCAGCAAAGTTGCATCTATAAAGGGATGTCCTCATATGTTTTTGAATTAGTCAGAAAAGCACGAGACTCTTGGCATTACAGTTCTTCTTTCTAAAACAGTTTTAAGTGAAAGGTAAACAAAAAAAGGAAACCATGTGATCTCCAGCTTCTGATTTTTCTGATGATGAAATGACTAAAATAAAATGAACTGCAATGAAGTCCGTGTTGCACCCCTGCTCCTGACAGGTTGCCCCAGTGATATTGTTGGAGGTGTCAACTGCAGAGAATAAATTTACAATAAAATATATCTAAATGTATGTAATAATAATAATATATATTCTTACCTTAACCTTAATTGGATAGCTTGGAGAAGTCAGAAAAGGTAAGTTTGTAGACATTGCCAGGATACAGATTGGCAGGCTTCTCTCAGTCTATCCCATAAGCTGTAGGTATAAGTAGAAGTAGAAACCAACTGTGGAGAGAAAATTAAATAGTAAACTGAACCTGAGCAAGAGCAGACTTCTTAAGACATTAGATTACATTCATTAATATCTTTTTCATTTGTTCCTCTAACTATATACAGTATGTATTAGACATTGCCTCACTGCATTTTTGCATTGAACTAAAAGATAATCACATACTCATTTTAACACAGGTTTTGAGGGATCAAATTTAAGCAGATGCATCTTGCCACTGATGATGTGCAGGCTCCTCATATCACTGTGCAGACTTCTCTGCTGCAATGTTCATTCTGAAGCAGTTAGACTGCCAACATTAGCATTGTCACAAAAAAAAAAAAAAAAAAATCCAACCTCAATTTCAGTATAAGAAAAGGGCTTTATACTTCATATCACAATGATGATTAAAAAAAATAGAATGTAATTATTCAGTATGATCACGTTGCTTTGACTAATTCTGATCAAAACATTAAGTCAATGTCCATCTTTGTCTTTGTTTTCAGTAGTCTGTTAATAAATCTTTCTCTATCTGTCCATCTGTTCATTTCTATAATATTCTGTAGAATATGTGAAGTGGCGCTCTCTAGTGGTATGTCGATACAACTGCAACAGTAAATACATGGCCTGCTCTGAAGAAAAGGGCATTAAACATTATTACATTTTTATTGTAATAATGTTTTATTACATTTTATTGTTCTCTCATGTTACAGTCATTTAACTTCTTAAATCTTTTAAATCATTTTAAATCTTCTTTTCACAATCCTTGGGTTAGGATTTAGTGAGAAGAGAGCAGCTGTATGTGATTTGCTCATTAACCTGTGATTGGCCAGTGACTGTTGAAAAACGAGGTGGCAGACGTTTGGGTTATGTTGGGGATCTGCTGCAGAAGCATGGCTGTACAACTGATGTCGAGGTAACTTTGAAATACTAACTGGATGTGGTTGCAAATAAGTGTTTCAGTTATGAAAATCACATCCCTTCTTTAGTTATGTTTTAGAAGTCTCAAGATTCAACAGTGACTTTTTTTTAAATAATCAATTTCCTCTGCATTTGTTTTTCAGTGTACTTCTCATTGCTTTGCTGACAGGGGGTGTCTCCTGTGTTCCTCTTGGTAGGGTAATCTAAAATGGAATATGGAACCTGATTTTCAGCTTTTTAGCTTGGGGTTTGATGTTTTTACTCCCCTTTTTTTTCTTTTTTTGTACACAGGCTTGCACAAACCTTATACACAGGGTAGCGGTCCTGCTCCAGTGTGGTCAAATGTTCGAGAAGGAGTGTATGGAATGCCCCAGTCTCAGACGCAGAGACCCGAACCTTCACAGAATCCTCCACCTGCTCCGAGTCAACCTGCTGACCCTGGTTACATGGCTGAAGATCCATTAAGCAGTCTGCAGCCACAAGGTAAATGTTTAAACAAACTTGGATGTATAAAAAAAGAACAAGCCTACAAATTGGAACACCAGTTAAACTTGACAATGCTTTTGGTACTTGAGGACCAACTTAGGCTGGTTTTAAGGTCACAGGATTATATGAGGCTGGTAAATGGCAGTTCGTTTTAATACAAATTAATGGTCTAGTCTTTGGTAAAGACTAAATTTGGAAATGGTTTGCTACAGAGCCTGGCATGTGTGTTGCAGCTTAGACTATTGTAATTCTATATTTTTTTAAAAATACTTTTTACTCTTCCTGTGCAGGTGGAATTGTTGGCCCATTCCCGCCTATGCCTCCCCCTCTCCCTCTCCCCCAACAGTTTCAGGCTGGAGAACTGTATCAAATCGAAGGAACTCATGACTTTGGAAATTTCCTGAGGGAGTCAATTGAGCACAACCTAGCTGTGGCTCCCCCTGATGGTGGTCCTCTCGGCGGCCCAATGCCATACGATAGTCTAAATAGTCAATATGGTCCTACTGGAGGTTTTATCGGCAGCTGGAGCATCATTCCATATGATTACGAATTCTTGACTGGTCAGTACCCCAAAGGAACACTTAGTTACCAGAGCAGCAGCTTTGAGCATGGAGGAAATCACTACAATGATGTTCACTACTCAAACGTCCCTGGTCTTGGCTCAGTCCGGTACCCAGTGTTTCCAAACCTTATGTGGTTCACGTCTGGCAACAGGCGTGAATCACCGCCGACTCGTGAAGCACGAAGAGCCATTTCTACTGTGTATTCTTAGTATTTCATAATTAAAGCTTGTGACCCTGATGTTCATTTGTGTGCTTTTGTATTCATTTTTCACTTAATGTAGTGAAGTCGGGAGGGGAACCACTGGTATCTACTATATCTTAGCCAGCTGGCTACCACCATGTTATCTACTAACAGACGTAACGTTATCCCAGGGCTAATTGGCAAATATTGGCGTTTTCTGCATGTTTAGATTAAAACATTCACGGCTACAGTGACAGCGAGCAGTCAGTGAGTCTTAACCTTCATCTCAGCTGCATTTCTCGCATGAAATCTAAAGTTCCTCGGGACGCTGAAATGTCCCAGTTTACACCAAACTTCATTGTAACATCTATATATTTTTTTTTTAACCTGGATTGAAGTGGTGGGTTTTTCTTCAGACAAATTCGCCAAAATCACGGCGATATCAGAAAAATTCCGGAGGAGCTCCTGGTTTAGCGCCAAGACGCGTGCGTGTTGCTGTTATGTGCGTTTTTTAAACATTGCAACCTTCGCAAACCTTGATCGAGACAAACTGCGCTCCTAAACTTCATCTCAACATTAGTACCTACACCAGCCGGATCTTCTGGAATATTTCCACAGAGACTGCTACTGCCCACCCCGACTCGGACTACAAGACTCTTGGGACGAAAAAGTCAGGTTTGTGAATTTCCATGTGTCATGTTAATCGCTTGGGATTTTACTATACACAAAATCAATACTGTAGCAAATAACCCGGTTCAGTCCTGGTTTAGTCCTGGTTTACCCCTGAAGTACTCATATATAACCTAAAGATATTGTAGCATAATGCATGTATGCATAGAGCTGCTTTAAGGCTACGTTTACACGTAGCCGGGTATTTTGAGAAACGAATATTTCCCTCCCCTCCATTTTCCAAAATAACATCGTGCACACAGCATCGTTTTCAAAAAAGTTTTCGTTTACATCAACCCGCATAAATACACCATATCAGATATCTAATCCAGGTGCCGCCTCTCAAACCTGTAGCATTTATTTCATTACAGTTTTAGTATTAGTATTACTCACAAATACCTTGAAAAACGCGCCTCCACCTGAGAGGCGTTTTCCCCGAAAAAAAAAAAACGTGCGCGGACGGACCGCTCAGAACAACATATAACGAACCAAACTGGATTCACGCTTGTGTCCGGATGCTGTATCACCTCGGAACCAGCCGCGGTCGAGCGCGGAGGACCAGAGCAGCCCGCCCAGACCTGTAGTCCACAGCGCATTCTCGCTTTTCTCACACAGAACCAGTGCACAGATGATGTACTCGGACCCAGTCCTTTGCGAGCTGCTCTTGCTCGCCCCCGTCTAGAACCAGGACATGGAGGACGAAGCCTCTGGACAATCTGCTCAACACTGGACCCCCAGCCCCGTCTTAAGGGGCTGCGCACTGTGTGCTTCCATGTGTTTGGCGCTGTTACCCCAGTTTAGAGCTTCTGCTCCGGTCTGATGTGCGGTGATGTGCGGTTTTATGAGCGCTCCTATGCTCCTAAAACTCCGTTTATCTCAGTTTACACGAAAACATGAAAACTGAGTTTTCCAGAATCTCCACTCTAGTCGGAGTTTTTAAAAAAGATTCGTTTTCAGAGGCGAATTCGCCGTTTGCGTGTAAAAGATGGGTACAAACGAAGGGAAATGTCTGTTTTTAAATATACCTGTGTACGTGTAAACGGGGCTTAAAGTGACAACTTTTATGTGTATAAAAATAATAATAAACTTGTAAACAATTGCTATTTTGCCATTTGGTTCAAATTCAATTTAAATTTAAGAGAAGTGTGCGAGAAACATTTAGCTCTGTACAGTTTGTGCCTCTGGGTTTGCTGTACTCTTGTATGTGCGTCCTGTTAGTTCTGGTGTGTGACACAAATGTTTCTCCCTACAGGTCTGTGGGAGCTAAGGCCCACGACTGCTTCAGGCCCCGGGGTCTCCAGACCTCCAGCACACACTCATCAACACACAAACCCTCACAAACACACAAAAGATATAAATACTCTTAAGTCCACACACACAAACAGACACTAACGTACACTAATATACACTAACACACACACTAACAGAAACACACACTAACACAAACACACACAAACACAAGCACATTCACACAAGCACACAAAAGCCTCAGCATATACTCTCGCCCGCTGCTCCTGCCACGCCCCTGCCCGCTCCTGTTTCGCATCTGCGTCTGCGTCTCGACTTCACTCCTCCTCGTCCTCCTCTTAAGCCTTTCCTGATGCCTCTTCCTGTGAACCTCCTCGCTTCTCTCGCCAGGTACCCCAAGCCCTCTGCACCTCCTGCTGTTTCCCTCTTTGCTGCTCCTGCCACGCCTCCGCCCGCTGCTCCTGCCACGCCCCTGCCTGCTCCTTCTGGCCTGTCCCTGCGTCTCGACCTCACTCCTCCTCCTCTTCCTCCTCCTCCTCTTAAGCCTTTCCTGATGCCTCTTCCTGTGCCCCTCTTCGTTTCTCTTTTCCGGCGCCCCAAGCCCTCTGCACCTCTCCCTGCTCCTGCTTTGCTCTGCTCCTCTTATTGGGTACCCCCGTGCCGTTCGTTGTTGGCGTCCAAGGCACTGCCCTGCTGCTCCTGCCACACCTCTGCCTGCTGCTCCTGCCTCACCTCTGCCTGCTGCTCCTGCCACGCCTCTGCCTGCTGCTCCTCCTCTTTCTCTTGTAACTGCTTGCAGATCCTTCTTCTCTTGGGTTGGGCAATAGTCCTTCCTTCTCCCTCTACTTTTGCTCTATCTCTCACTTCTCCTTTTCTCTCTCTCCTGCTTCATTCTCTCCCTCCCTCTTCTCTCGCTCCCCCTCACTCTCTTTTGCTCCCTTCCTCTTATCTCTCTCTTCCGCTCTTTCTTTCTCCCTCGCTCTTCTCTCTCCTTCTTTCTCTTTCTCTCCTTCTCTCTCTCTCATTCTCTATCCTCATTGTCTCTCACCTTTTCTCTCTCCCTCGTTCTTCTCTCTCTCCCTCTCATCTGTCTCCTAATCTCTCCTCCTCTCTCTCATCCTCCTCTCTCTCGCCCCAGATCTCCCTTGCTCTGCTCTCTCTCTCTTTCTCTCCCCCCTCTCAATCTCATTTCTCTTCTATCTCTCCCGCTCCCGATCTGTCTTCTCCCTCTCCCTCTCTCGGTCTCTCTCTCTGTCTCTATCTCTCCCCCTCTCTCCATCTCTCCCCCTCTCTATCTGTCTTCTCTCCCTCTCTCTCTGCCTCTCTCTCTCTCTCTGCCTCTTTCTCTCTCTTCCTCTCTGCCTCCTTCTCTTCCTCCCTGCATCTCCCTCTCTCTCCCTCTCCATCTCTTCTCTCTCTCTCTCTCTCTCTCTCTCTCTCCCTCTCTCTCCCTCTCTATCTTTCTCTCTCCATCTCTCTCTCCCTTCCCTTTCTTTCTTTCTTTCTTTCCTTTCTTTCTTTTTTTCTTTTTCCTCCTCTCACCTGAGGTATGAGTTTCCACCGCTGCTACTGCTGACCGCTCACATTCTCGTCTGACGGGTGTCCACTGCATTTGGTCCCACGGATTATGGAATACGATTATTGTCATATGAATATGTTTCTGATTTTACCATTTTGCGTGCAGACATGGATTAAACCATTAATACACAAGGAGGCTGGCTTCACGACCTGCATTTGCCCTGCACAAGTGACTGATATGCGGCATGAGCGCACAGAGCAGGATGCGCAGGTCAGTGCTCATGGCACTATACATCTCTTGAGCCGCTATGCAAAGATCTACTGAGCGCTGCTGCCAAGAGAGCAGCACATAAGAGACGTGAGTCTGCTCCTCATCCTAGCCGATCCCTATCAGAGTCAGGTGGCAACTAACTTTATTATCTAACAAAATGGGAATAACTTGGTCACAAAATTAAATGGAGCAGGTGTTAGAAAAGGTATGAGATTGTGAGGAAATCTGACATTGCAGAATTAGGACCGCAGACAGGGTAAGAAAATACACTTTAGGACAACGCTGTAAACGGCCATGTGAATGAGCAACTTAGCCATCAAATAATGCTCCCACTGTAGAATCACCTTTATTCACTCATTTATATGAATATGGGTAAAGGTAGCTCATTTTGACTGGCCTATATCTTCTATCAAAGAAGGCTTCCACTAAAGCTAAACACATTCTCACAAGCCAACTGAGCCATCAAATAATGCTCCCACTGTAGAATCACCATTATTTACTCATTTATATGAATATGGGTAGAGGCCTATATCTTCTCCCAAATAATGCATCCACTAGAGGTAGCATATCTCACCTTTGTGATACTGGGGACATTGACGACTGGACTATTCCATGCATTTAAATTTTATGTATATAGCACCAATAAAAATGGACTTTGGTCTCTTAGTCATGATGGATGGATAACAAATATTTATTTTAAAAATATATACACACAATCCAGGAAGGGACATTTATTCCCTTCTGTGATGCCTGTAGGAGGGCAAATGCGACCTGAAATTGAGCCTTTAACACCTCTTCAGGGTGTTCACTTTTTAAAATGTTACTTGCATTGTCACTGTTCAACCCAAATCCACTTCTGCCTCAGGTAGCTCAAATCAATGGGCATTTAAACTGTAATAGCACATGCGGGACAGGACACACGGCAGACCTCTTGTAGGGCCCAATGAGTGAAACAAACATTCTTTGAGAGAGGATCTAAATATTCCTAAATATACAGGATTTGCGTGTGTGAATGAAGCAAAATCAGAAAATACCGTAATATGGGCCATTTTAAGACATTTTAAACCCCCACCCTGCAATATGATCATAATTCTGTTAGATACAATTAACATATCAGCTGTATCACTAATCTATACCACTTTATTTAGTGTTACTGTTACATGCAAGCATTTAGGTTGTCTCTTCCAGTGAACCTGTGTATCTTTGGTTTCCACAGCAGTGGCAGCTGTCCGGCTCGCTGGACTGTGCCTATTTTACACTCACTCTATTTCAGGAGTCACTGTTATTCAAAAGGTCAGATAAAGACGCAGGGCGGCAGAGGGCAGGGGGGCGGGAGACTGAAGAAGACCCTGCCCACAAAGACAAACATTTGAGACACCTTATTCCGTGGACAGCCTAAAGAAGAGACAGCAGGAACATCTCTGTAGTCATAGGCTTTAGGCTGGGCAAAGAGAGATAAACACTTAATTTTGGATAATACAAAATTATGGAGGAAGAAATACAGCAACCTGAATGTGCTGCGGAGAAAACACAATGTGACAAGAATAACAACAGCCAGGTGCGTTATGTCTAATATTTGTTATAAAAAGTACATTAGTTTTATTGCTATATATAGTGCTATAGCTTCAGACTCTAAAATACTATATATAGAAAGATGTTTTAAAGGGTTTATACAAACTGAGTAGAGTAGCATATTGAGTTAAATATTATAAAGTATATGTCTACATATAATAATCCTGTGCATTTGGAATAGCACTAGTAAAATAAATCAGGCTTATTTATTTCAATGCTATGTTATATATATATTATTATAGTGGTGCAAATCATACCAAGAAGGAGTTGTTAAGTTTGGGGAACATGAAAGCAATGCCACACCTGTTGGACCTCTGCTTTCAAAGAACTGGCTCTACAGGGAGTCATGAGTCACGGCTCTCAAACAAACCAGTGATGTACTGCAGGGACAACTACATCAACGAAACAGATAGGGCTGTGCAGATTTTAAATACAGATTTTAGTCCACCACCAATGCTCTGTCAGTAAATGCATGTTTGGAGCAGAGTTTGAGCTTTAAAAGAAGAAATTGGACAGTTTGTTTTTTGTGTGTTCATTGGCATTGGTTTACGTTTTGGATATTAATGAATGAAAGAGTTTTAATTTGTTTTAATAGAGAATTTTCTGATAAATATGACAAAAAATTATAAAATTTTTAGCCATATTTATTAGAAATTTTCCTTTCCTTTTTTTTTTTTTTTTTGTTTCCTTGGGCTGAAATTATCTTATATAATGTTAATCAATTTTATTACCTAACAATACACTAACTGAAAATGACTTCACTTTTTCTGTTAGGATGTAAATATTGCCGAACATTTAACTGTTGTCTGTATGGTCTATTGTATATCATTATAGAGTAATGTTATTACTTGTTAATATGGTATATGCATGGGCAGCTTAAAATATATTCCTAAACATTTGCAGGCTACATTTCATTTTTGATTTTGATTTGCATATGTTTCAGTTATATTACACAGGGCAAACTGTTAACTTCCTAAAAAACACATAGGAAATAGAGTACAAACTAACTGCAGCTGATAAAAATAAACCTGAACACAGTGTATACAAAATCACTGCCAAGACACAAGCAGTTGTGCCTTCCTCATGACACCCAAGCTAATTTTAAATCATTTATAGAGCATAAGACAATTTGAGTTATACTGTCATATACTGTAGTACCACGTCAATCTAAGTAACTTGTAATAGAAGCTTCCCATTTCCACTTATATTTAAGAGAACATAATTTTAAAGAGACAAAAGAAATCCCAGTAAAGCCCAAAGTTAGTTGGTACTAAAAGGTCAAAGGTCACATGACAAATGCAGTGCATATTTTTAGGTCGAGAGGGATTTGAAAGGCATTCCTGTACTACCAGTTACAATACAATTAGTTGCATAATGAGTTGCATATTGTTGTATCACTGAATACATTATTATAAATTTGCATATTACAAGAAGCATTCCTTAAAAGGACCCATATTACATTATTTTTTGATCTGTGTAATAATGTTGTTTTGTCATCACCAACATGCCTGGAGTTGTGTTTTGTTTCATTTAACATACACTTCATTCACATACATTTTACATACAAAACCTGCATATTTAGGCTGAGCGCTCCACAGAAACCACTCCATCCCACTTTGTGATCTCATGTAGTAATACAAGAAGTGCTTCACTATGTTTTTAAACTTCATACATAGTTCATTAGAATCAGGTTTCCAGCCCTGTCAATATTTACTGAACTAAATGTAAACGAAAGCTGTTAACTTCAAAACTACCAGTACATGACATCACAAGGTGGAACAGAGCGTTTTGAGAATTGGAGATGTAAACAGACTAATAATTAAGAATTGCTGAAGCATGTGTAAATGAAAGAAAACACAACTTCAGATATGTTTTTGAAGAAGTAACAACATTCCAACATGGGTTAAAGCTGGAAACAGTCAATTCTGTATAATATAGGACTTCAATAAGATTTGACTTTGACAAGGGGGATTTTAGAACCAGCTTAGTTTCTGCAATTTTTTCTACAATCTTTAACTCATCAATATTTCTAATGTCCCCTTGTGTATTGTTTAATTTTCTTTTCTAATTAAATTGTTCATGTAAATGGTAAGCTCTAGTACATTGCTATAATTTATCCAGCCACCACAGAATTTGCGCAATAAGTAAAGCATGCCTATCTTAATCATACTGTGTGGTGTCTGAATCTTTCTAAATCTTTTTTTTTTTTTTTTATGCCTTTAGATTGCGCTGAAGGAAAACATACCTTCAAAGACAGAAGAAGAGACAAGCGAAGACAAGGAAAGAGAGAGCAAGAAGGATGGAGAGAGAGAAGAAATAAGGGAAGAAACAAAATGTCTAGATGAAAAAAAACATACTGAATCTCATGAAGGTGATGCTGAACAACATAGCCAAGATAGCACAACTGACAATGCAACTGCTGACAACACAGACTGTAATATAAGAACAGAGGAGGAGGCTAAGAAAGAAAAACAAGAGGAAAGTGAAACAAAAGAAGAAAATACATCAACTAATAATGAGGAAAAAGTGAAGGAGGCCGCAACAAATAAAACAGAGAAGAAAAAAGCAAGCAAAGGCAAAGATACAGAAGTAAAATCAGATGTAAATAAAAAGGGAAGCACAGAAGAGATGGAAAAACCAGCAAAGAGGAAATCTGGACCGTCTGCTGCCTCTCTTGCTGCCCTGAGTCGGCCCCGCCCCTCGGCACGCTCCATCCGTGCATCCGCTAAAAAGGACCTCATCGCCAAGTTCCAGCAAGGAGCACCAGAGTGAGTGACCAGAGAAGGAAATTAATGTATTGATTGATTGTTTTTAAATTATTATTAATAATTTTTTTAAGAATCCCATATGATCATGATAATGCAGTATTTTGAAATATGCTAAAACACTGTATGAGTTGAGGCTTAAGTAACAGACATGTGGACAAATCCTCTGCTTTGGAAGAATTATAAACTATTATTATTATTTTTAATCGACAAATTTTGCAACTTTTTGAGATTTTTTCTAAACAATATACTCAATATTCAAACTTAAGCATGATCTCTTTACATTGATAGTGATTTAGCTTCATTCATTCAGACAAAAACAAAATATCGAATTATATCTTGTTCTATAGTTGAGGTGTTTCAGTGTCTTTTTTGGTGCATTACAATGTTCTAAACAATGGAGTAAAAAGATATATATATATATATATATATATATATATATATATATATATATATCGGTATTGTATGGTAAGTTATCAGTAGGTGGTGTATAATCAGAATGACATATTTATACACAGTGTTGGGAAGGTTACTTTTAAACTGTATTCCCCTACAGATTACAGATTACACCCCAAAATGTAGTTTGTAACGTAATCCATTAAATTACTTAAAGTGAGTAACGTAATCTGATTACTTTGGATTACTTGATATTGTCATGTTTTTTTAAACGACATGAATGTAGCAACCACATCCTCCAAATTCTTGTTTGTTGTCTTCAAATTGTCTGAGCCCAAGTCTCCATGAATAAGCAACTCTTTACTGTAGAGAAACAAAGACCACGATATCTTAACATAAGAGGTTTTGTCTGTTAAAAGACAGTAACAAGATAAGCCTTTCCTTCACCAGATTAAAAAAATATTATTGATAGAGAAATTATTTTTTATATGAGATCACCTTAAATTATGTCAACCTACTGTTAGGTGTCATGTTGTTTAGACCTGGTTTAGTCCTGGTTTAGTCCTGATTTTTAGACCTGGTTTAGACCAGGTCTAGATCAGGTCTTTAATTCTGGTTTAGTCGTGGTTTAGTCCCAGTTTAAACCTGGTTCAGTCCTGCTTTAGTCCTGGTTTAGTCCTGGGTTAGTCCTGGGTTAGTCTTGGTTTAGTCCTGGTGTTAGTTCTGGTTTAGAGGCGCACAGGAGGAAGTGCGGTTTACGCGAGAAAACACAGTCCACACACGGCGCACGAGACGGCGGTGTCCGCGCTGTAACTACGGAAGGAGACGTGGTCCGCGGGTTCTCAGGTTGATGACGATGATGAAGGTGTTTGTGTGTGTTTGTGTGTGTTTGTGTTTGTGTGTGTTTGTGTGTGTGTGTCCCCTCATGTGGCAGGTCACTATAGGACAGTAGTGCAGATATTATGAGTCCATGCAGGTTGTTTTCACCGGTGCCAGTAGCTCCTGTTTCACATTTAAGTTGTAGGCGATTTTATACATATTTTTTTTATATATATATCTCTCATCGGGAGAAGAATTTCCAAGACACAAATGCGTTTTTACCAATGCACTGCTGCTTCCACTGTGTGACTGACACCGCCAACTTTAACATGACGTTTCCATCGCTCTTATTGTCGCGTTCTGTTTGGGCTTCAGGCAATGAGTGGAATTACCGAAATAAAAAAATAAATAAATGGGATGTAGCACAAAATGTGAAAACAGGAAAATACCGCTTTGTAATCCACTTATTTCAGCAAAGTAACTGTAATCCAATTACCACTCATTGAAACAGTAACTGTAACGGAATACAGTTACTCATAATTTGTACTCTGATTACGTAACGGCGGTACATGTAATCCGTTACTCCCCAACACTGTTTATACATTTTCTCAAAATTATAATGTGCTATGTTCATATTTCAGAACACCAGTCCAACGCAACTTTAAACTCCAGAAGTCTGCCACAGCTGGGGCCACAGGGGCTTCAATCAAACAGAAAATACTCCAGTGGTGTATCAACAAAACTCGCAAATATGAGGCATGAGCTAATACTGTACTTTATTATGAAACATTTGGTACTGGTGATTTTGGCTTACTCTTTCTTATGTTGCATCTTTTTTGATATTTCAGGGGGTGACCATAGAGAACTTTTCTTCGTCCTGGTCTGATGGGATAGCGTTTTGTGCTCTTATCCATCGTTACTTCCCTGAGGCCTTTGACTTCAGCTCCCTGAATCCAAAAGAGAGAGAGAAGAACTTCACACTGGCCTTCCAAACTGCTGAGTAATGCAAATGTTTACTTTTAACTGTAACAACATTTTTATTGATTGATTTAAAGAGCCTATGTTACCATTTTCTGATCTTTTTCGCATCAAAAACATACATCATAGAAAAACAAATCCTCCATATTTAGGCAGAGTTTTTCTCTCAACCAGAAAACACTGTTCCACCTTCTGATGTCATGTAGTAATATAGAAAGTGTTCCACTGTGTTTTTAAACACCATACTCCTTCACTAGAATAATTTGGATGACTTCAGCTCTGGAATTACACATCTCAAGGTAAAAGGTAGCGATTAACTTGAAAACTACAGCTTCAGGACAGCCCAAGGTGGACAGAGCATTTTGAGCTTTAAGGATGTAGACAGACAAGAAAACCAGAATTACTCCATGTGTGAACAAAACACATCTTCAGGTATGTTTTTGAGGAAGTACCTAGATTATAACATCTCTTAAAGCCCGCAAGAGTCCATTTTGTGTAATATAGGACCTTAAAAAATGTTATCGCTAACATCAAATGTGATACCTCCTTGTTTACAAATAGATGTTATCGTATTGCCTGGAATGTTTGACAGTAGGGTATTAATTCTTGCTAAATGAGCCGCGATCAATAGAAATGGATCACAGTTTAATGCCATTCTGGAACACTCTAGACAACTCAAGAATGTTTCCATGGAGACAAGCAAACAGTACCAGATCCTCCACCAGCTAAGAAAAGCTGCATAGTGCCAAATTTATGGTATTTTCTGAGCGATATTAACAGATATATACAGCATATTTACCTTCCCCTCTCTGCGTTGTCTCCCAGGACTTTGGCTGACTGCTGCCCCCTTCTGGACGTGTCTGATATGCTCATGATGGGCAACCACCCTGACCCCATGTGTATCTTCACCTATGTTCAGTCACTCTGCCACAGCCTGTCCAAGATAGAGAAACAGAGAAAAGAGAAAGCTGAAAAAGAGAAAGCTGAAAAGAAGGAGGAAGAAGGGCCACAAGAGGAGGAAGAGCCAGAGGACAGTGAGACCACAGAGGGTCCAGAGGAGACCCCAGTTATTAATGAAAGTTATGAGGAAAGCTGTGAAAAGGAGGAAAATGTGTCAGCAAGTGAAGAGACTGATACTCAGAAAATGGTAGAAGGGGAATCCTAGAGTTATTAGGATCTTATTTAACTAGATTTATGCTATGTGGTCTAAACTGCTGTATTTTGCCCTGTGCACAAGTTTGTAGACAGTATTATTATTATTGATAATGTGGGTTTTATTCACTGCAATTGTATGTTGACACAAATGTTTAAAATTGCTGTACTTTAGGATTGGTTACATGATTTGAAGTAAAGTGGGTGTTACATATTTCATATATATATTGCATTTGACAATAGTAGTGTGTTTTAGACACTGGGGTGACTTGTAAACACAAATGTGAAATGTTACTAGTTTATTATTAAATTGATTTGAAAAATTATCGGGGTTCTCTCTCTCGCTAACCTTAACCCTAACTGGATTTCGGTCTGAACAAAGATCCCTGTACTTGCCTGTCCGAGCTGCTCAAGGCCTGCAAACACCCACCTGCCCAGTACCGCCTGCTGGAGGGCACAGTGACCGGCACCCAATGGCCCTTCTCCATGGAGGTGTCTGTGGACCAGTACACTGCAGTGGGCAAAGGGGGCTCTAAGAAGGAGGCCAGGAGGAGAGCAACTGCAGCTCTGCTCCAAATGATGGGATACACAGTCCCAGAGGAGGAGCTGGTCTCACCTGCTCCTCACCCCACAACAGAACCTGACTGTGAGTCCAGAGGCTCCACAGGAAACTCCAGACCAGGAGAGCCACATTCCACAGACCACAGACATTAGAGACTCCAGAGAATGAGAGTCCAGCGGAGGTTCAAAACCTGGAGGTATCAAAGGAGACCCAGTCTCTGGACAACTCCAAGAGTCCAGAGGAGGACCAGATCCCACAGAAGGCAGATACACGACAGACTCCAGATGATGTAGAGAGTAGAACGTCAGGAGAAACTGGACTGATACAACAGTGTCAGTCCTCAGGAGGAAGAGCCCCTCTGTATGTCAGACAACAGTTCAGCTGACAGCGAATCTCCTGAATGCTGTGAGACTCTTTTAAATATGACCATGACTCCAGAGGCTCTGCAGGAAACTCCAGACCAGGAGAAACAAGAGGAGAGCGACATTCCACAGACCATAGCTGAGGACCACCAGGAACTGCAGCCTCTGAACAGCTCAGGCAGTGATTATGTTTCAGAGGAGACATCAGAAGAGAGCCACAGACATAGCTCTCATAAACCTGCCGAAGAGGAGCAGAGCAAAAACACCTCAGATCAAACTGGACTGGAGGATCTCAAAATTATTGAGAAATATATTCCAGAAATAGTTTGTTTCAATTTTGTTCGTAAACCCTGAGCCTGATTCAAGTGACTGCTCCAAGGGACACCAAACTCTGGGTGAGTTCCACAAAGGGTCAGTGGAAAACCCAGAGGATCTGGAAATTCAAACTGAGACCCAAGATGAAGTGGAGACTCCCAGTCCAATGGACAGGGAAATCCTGGAGGTAGTAAATAAGACCCAGTCTCTGGACACCAGAGCAGCTGGACATCAGCTCAGAGGAAGACCTCAGTCCAACTAAGCCACAAATACAAAAGGAGCAAACCTCAGAAGACACAGAGACACTAATGGAGGTCCCCAAACTGCAGAGGAGCCAAACCCTGAGGAGGTGCAGCTCCACATGGCAGAGGACATAACAGTAGAAGAAGAGTGTGAGAAGCTGCGGACAGAAAACCCAGCCTGAGCTCCAGAGCCCCCTGCATCTCCTCAGGCCTCACAGACCCTGGGCTCAGTCGAGAGCCTGGTGATCCATGCTCTGGTCAAAAAACAGCTGCAAAAGCTGCCCTCCAAAATGAGGTCCCACCACGATGCATTAGTGCAGATTCTGGAGAAGACCAGAGTCCAAGACCAGTTCAAAGTCCCAGCTGAAGTTGATGTCAAACCCAAAAACATAAAGAAGCTGGGCAAAGCCGCAGCCAGAGACCTGATCCATGAATACGGCTCTGCCTCCAAGCTCCTGGTGATGGCTTTGGGACCAGGTCCCACAGATTTCCAGAAGGATGCCATGAAACATCTGAACTTTCGTCTCAGTGCCTTCAGGAACTGGCCCAGAACTGTTCTGGCTCAGCTCTTTCCACAGTGGGACAAGCCCAAGAAGAGGGCCTGTTAGACAGTGCCCCCTGTGTCTTTTAAGAGTCACTCGTTTGGAAGAGAGGGGTCAAAGGTCACTGGACACTTTTTAAGTTGAGATATTTCACTTCCATCCAGAGCTCATTTTAAGAGTCAAAACGCCAAATGGAAGATGAAGTGTTTCCATTTCAAAAACTGTTGAGATGAAACCTACAACTCCTTTTTTCCCACGGTCCAAATGTGGATCACACCGACTCACAGAGGACACAGCAACTTTATTCAAATTATTTAAAAAAATAAATAAGCATTTCCCCTCCGCCAAAATATTGTTATTATCTTTCTTTTATCTCTTTTTCTCTTTTGAAGCAGCACTGCGTAACATTTCTGTAGAGGGCACAACACCTGCATGCATGCTTTCTAGCAGTGGTCTCAGCAAGGCCCTGACATTTCAGCAAAAATTGTAGAACAAATGATTGTATTACCTCAATTAATCACAATATTGTATTTTTTAGATCTAAAATTCTCTCACGTGAATGTTCCTGACATATATATATATATATATATATATATATATATATATATATCAGTGTTGGGGAGTAACGGATTACATGTACCGCCGTTGCGTAATCAGAGTACAAATTATGAGTAACTGTATTCCGTTACAGTTACTGTTTCAATGAGTGGTAATTGGATTACAGTTACTTTGCTGAAATAAGTGGATTACAAGGCGGTATTTTCCTGTTTTCACATTTTGTGCTACATCCATTTATTTATTTTTTTATTTCGGTAATTTCACTCATTGCCTGAAGCCCAAACAGAACGCGCGCAATAAGAGCGATGTAAACGTCATGTTAAAGTTGGCGGTGTCAGTCACACAGTGGAAGCAGCAGTGCATTGGTAAAAACGCATTTGTGTCTTGGAAATTCTTCTCCCGATGTGAGATATATATATAAAAAAAAACTAATAGAAAATCGCCTACAACTTAAATGTGAAACAGGAGCTACTGGCACTGGTGAAAACAACCTGCATAGACTCATAATATCTGCACTACTGTCCTATAGTGACCTGCCACATGAGGGGACACACACACACAAACAGAAACACACACCTTCATCATCGTCATCAACCTGAGAACCCGCGGACCACGACTCCTTCCGTAGTTACAGCGCGGACACCGCCGTCTCGTGCGCCGCGTGTGGACTGTGTTTTCTCGCGTAAACCGCGCTTCCTCCTGTGCGCCTCTAAACCAGAACTAACACCAGGACTAAACCAGGACTAACCCAGGACTAAAGCAGGACTAAACCAGGTCTAAACAACATGACACCTAACAGTAGGTTGACATAATTTAAGGTGATCTCATATAATTTCTCTATCAATAATATTTTTTAATCTGGTGAAGGAAAGTCTTATCTTGTTACTGTTTTTTAACAGACAAAACCTCTTATATTAAGATATCGTGGTCTTTGTTTCTCTACAGCAAACAGTTGCTTATTCATGGAGACTTGGGCTCAGACAATTTGAAGACAACAAACAAGAATTTGGAGGATGTGGTTGCTACATTCATGTCGTTTAAAAAAACATGAATATCAAGTATCAAAGTAATCAGATTACGTTATCACTTTAAGTAATTTAATGGATACGTTACAAATTACATTTTGGGGTGTGTAATCTGTAATCTGTAGGGGATTACATTTTAAAATACCTTCCCAACACTGTATATATATATATATATATATATATATATATATATATATATATATATATATATATATATATATATATATGTAAAATGTGCACTGTGAACTTAACCTTGGTTTAAAAAAATCACAAATACACTTGCAATACTTGAAACAGATGATAAACCGTACACAAAGAAGTGTCTGTTACACCATCACATTCTTCATTTACACATGTCACTTGAACATTATGAACGCCAAAACATAGATAAAGTCATATGCATAATTCATAACACTGTCTACTGTACATGAAACAGCACTGGCAATAACCCATCATGAACATAAATACTTAGGGTATACTAGTATAAATGTACATTTTATATAGTATATACACACCAGTGTGACACACTAAGCATAAACAAACCTACACAGTGTATTACGGTAATTGCGTCATGCCTCCGGAAAAGGCCATTGTGTCGGCCCTTTTGGAGGGAGCAGTGTCTGAGCGGCGCAGTTGGTCAACATTACAGTGAGAGCAGCATTGACAAAGATGGCTGTGAGTTTGCCTCCGGGTGGTGTGAACCTAGAGTCGCAGCTTTTGTCCATAATGGACGCGCTGGTGAAGGCAGCAGCAGCGGAGATCAGTCAGCTTTTCTGTGAGAGCTCTGCGGAGCTGCGCCTGCACTTAACCCAGAGCCTACGGGAAAACGACAGTCTGCGGACACGCGTGAAGCTCATGAGGAGCGAGATCTTCTCCTTGAAGCTGCAGGCCCGAGCTGCACGACCCTCCAGCCGCTTTGGAGTCCTGCGAGCAAACACCCCCAAACCACGAGTTAAAGCACAAGGTAAACAACAAAAATATACGGCTACGGGAACTGGCCTACACTGCCCCCAGTGGGGGAATAAATTACATATTGTCAAATAACTGAAAAACGTAATACTATTATGTTTTACCCCCCCCCCCCCCCCCCCCCCCCCTCACACAAGATGTCTCCACTCCTGCAGTTTCAGAGGACCAAACTACCTACACTGTCGCTGAAAAGGTAACTTTAAAGAAATGTTCATGCTTTAAAGTCTAGAGAAAAAAAGTAGGACCATAGACTGTATGGGTTACTTTTGGACTTGGGTGATGGACTAGATGAGCAGGACATAGCAGGATATAGCCTAATGTAAATGGTGATTTGTGTCTTGATAATAGAGGTTTACTGGCAACTACACCCACACCCACTACACTCCAGTTCACCAGTTAATTAATTCATACACACAGATGTAGACAGACACAGGCACAGTGAGACAAGTAGGGTGAAATGTCTTGTACAAGGACACAAACATTTTCATCAGCACTTTTCCAGTGAAATACTGTGCACTCATGTGTTTACATCTTTTGCAGAAAACAGCTGTGGACTGTCCTGATGTCATTTTGATCAAAGATGAGGATGAGTCTGAAGAAGTTACTGCTGGTGGTGAGTGACTTAAACATTTTTATTTATAGTTTATATAGCTTTACAATAAATGTGTGTTTATATTTATAGACAATGGACCTGGCAGCACAAAGATGGAGAATGAAAATACTGTGGACCTCCAAAGTCAAGCACAGGAAGCTTTCATAAACCAGAGTGACACTTTTTACAACACGTCTGACCATTTGGCCTTTACCTCTATACCTACCATGCAAACGGCTTCTCATGACCTAACAACTAACGATATGCGAATAACAGTGCATAATGACATTTTTGGAATGCCAGTTACCAACCAAATGGAAAGAACACCAATTATCCAAAATGTTACCTCAATAGCAATGAACCACCAGGACATGGGTGCCGGTAGTGAAGGCAGCTCCAGTAGTCCTGTCCCAAAGCAAAAGTCTATTCACAAAATGTTGCCCTGCACCATCTGCTGGGCTAAATTCAGTACTCGTAGTGAACTGAACACACATCGTGCCAGTCATACAGGTGGCTCTCCCATCACTTGTCACATGTGTGGTAAGGTATTTGTTAGCAAGAACACTTTAGGAATCCACATGCGAATCCACACAGGAGAAAAACCCTATGTCTGTCTGCTCTGTGGGAAACGCTTCACACAAAATGGTGGTCTCCGGATTCATTTAAGAACGCATTCAGGAGAGAAACCTTTCAGCTGTTCAGTGTGCCACACCAGCTTCAACAACCCCAGCAACCTCCGCCGACATAAGATCACGCACAACACTGTTTAGTATGTTCAAGTATCACTATTGACTTTTATATTTATGCTGCCTTTCATACAGGAATACCATAATTGTGAAGTTGTTGTTTTGGTTCTTTATTACGTAGACTGTTACTTTTGTTGTTCCACTTTAAACTTTTGTATTAATACGTTTATCAATTCTGAAAACCTTTTATAATATATAAAATAAATACTGTTTATAATTTTATGGTATTGATTGGCATTGTTTGTTTTTGTGTTTTCTTATCAAATTTCAAGTTAATACGAGTGTTTATACAGCACATGCCTTATGACCATTGACTATAAAGATGACATCAATGTTACTAGTATTAATAGTAGGCCTACATTTTATTTATGAACTATGATCAAGTGTTGGATACTTTTCATACTAGCTGCAGACATGCCTTATATTACTGTGCCCGTAGGAGGCAGCATTGTCCTAATTTTACCATCTTCTGTTTTTCTAACAAAGGGTTGCACTTTGAGACTACTCTTTAGTAGTTGTAAACTAAATTATCCCCAACTGTACATGTTTTAGGATAATGAAAACCAAATAATCACCATATATATACCTTGACTTTATAAAGGCCTATTGAACTGCAAGATGTTTTAATTGCCTACCTATTCAGATCATATTAAAATATTAATTACTAAACTCGGGACTGACTCAGGATAGTGTGACGGAGCTCTGTGTGTGTGGGCAGTGGCGGCCAGTCAAAAATCCCGAATAAGCAATGACCCGTGCATAGTCTTGTGTGCCAATATGGATCTTGGCCAATAGTTTTGCACGCTGTTGTGGAATGTGTTTTGTACTTCCCCAAGAAACGCCGCTTCCTCTCTTCCTCCCCTGACCATTGTTCTTGGGCAATCAATGAAATGACATCAGTGCGAGACTGGGGTCGGGAATAAATGGGAGGAGAAATAAAAACAGGCGGAGAAAAAGGCGTCTACAATAATTCTCATCTCAAATCCTTTTCGCATTTCGGATTTGTATCTCATACCTTAAAAGTTATCCGCATCTAAAATTACACAGTTTGAGTTTAGTTGGCTATTTATACTTGACCAAACACCTGTGTGGCAGAGGAATTCGCGTGCGCCGCCTTTACGGTAAAGCCGCTTGTTGAACCCGCCCTCTCTTTGATAGAAAACTCGGTGATGTCGCTTCATCTTTAACAAGCTTGACCCAGAAGCTGCGAAGGAGGGGAAAACAAGAGAGAAAACCCAGCAAACGGAATAGCCTCTCGGGCCTTGTGGGCGATTTGCAGGACATTGTAAGTACACCGATAGCCATAGGATTGTGCCTAAATGAAATGGGTCGTGTTGATACAGAGTGCACTGCAGCGTTGGCAAGGAGTGGTCACATCATCGACAGAGGCTAATGGTTGCTAAAATGCTAACTTTGCTAGCGTGCGCTCACATGCTTTTATTATCAGTAGGGCACACGTTCACAAATTGCAGAAAGATGCAAATGCACACGCTAACGATGTATAAATGTATTTCTCAGACTATCTTTTTAAATAACTTAATTCAGTGGAACTTGAGCCCTTGTTGCTAATCTGTTTGCTATGCTATGCGCTAGGCTCGCTGCTGGCACCGCTCTCATGGGGCTATATGGGTTATTGTGATGCTAACGGAGCAAGACAGCCAAACCAGGTCATATGAGTGCTGCTGAGAAAGCGTTTAAGCTTAATATGATGCCCAACTTTAATTTATGTGGACTTTGGTGCGGTCTTTACGCACAGATGCACAATACACGGGCCACTCTTTGTTCTCCAGACTTTAGTTTGTAATGTTATTCTTAGCCTGGTGGGTAATGTTACCAGCTCTGTGTGTGGTCAATGCCCCAGATTTGTCTGCTAGATGATAAACCAGTCTTTAGTCATGTAACGATTACAACCATCAGCTGGGTCACGATCACATCACGTGACAGCGTTAGGTTCGGTCTTTTTTGGACCTGTCTATAAACTGAACACTTGACAGCATAGTGGTGGTCAGGCTCTACATCTATGCTTTACGCTGTGTGCATTTACTGTGCATTGACCTAGTTGTTCACGGTCCAATTGAAACGCCCTCTCGCCAGATGCATGGCATAGCTTTAGAATTGTAAAGATTACGATGAATGTTTTTGTGAAGTTGTCATTTCCACAGTCCTATAGTTGCCTCCAAGTGTGTGTGTGTATTTTATGCTTTTGGGTGGTGGTCTGTCACACGCAGGACGCTGCCTTTGTCAACTCTTGAACCTGTTAGGTCAGTCCTGTGTGAACTTGTTTTGGTTGCAAATGTATGGGTGGGGATAACAGTCGGTGTGTGCCACTAATCTCTCCTTTAACCTGTAAACAGTGTTTATGAACAGGAGCATAGTGCAGTGTTTACCGGACCAGTGTCAGCCCCCTGAGGCTTTAGGGCAGTCATTTCTGTTTCAGTACAGTTTGATGTATAAAGAAGCATAAACTATGTTCACCTTTGCATTTTGTGAAGACCGCAAAACATTCTCTGAGTTTAGTGTTTTCTTTGAGCTGTGATCTTTAAGTGCTCTCTTGAGTTGTGCAGGTTTAGCTAAATGCCTGGGCGTGCATGTTAATATCCAGCATGTATGTGTGAGGAGGTAAGTGGATTAGTGGGTTAAAGCCTCAATCCCATTACGAGCCACGCTCAGTCCAAACCAGTGCTCTCCTACACATACATGATTCACAAACAGATGTGCATTTTTCTGTGTGTTATTTCAGTGTAGAGTGTGTGTTTTTGAATACAGGTGTAGCTGCATAGTACATGAGCGTCCCTTATAGAGTCGACAAAGCGTGCACTGTTGCTACATGTGAGCAGCACAGATGTCTCTAAGTTAAGTGAGTCACGCTGACGGACGGCCCCAGTATCAGATGTTTCTGTGACTCGTGGTGCGTCAAAGTTGGTCAGATGTTGACCCCAAGACCTCTCAACCATGTTTTTAACTGTAGCTGCAGGGATACATACACAATATTAAATATTACACACAAAAATTGTACTGGTCAGCAATTGGAGGCAGTGCCATTTGAGGGTTTTGCTTTGTTTGCTTAAGTAATATCAGGGCAACCACATCATTATTCAGGAAATCCAAAGAGGATTTCTGTATGAAAACTTCACATCATCATTATACTATTTCAAGACCTCAGACCATACTATCTCTCATTTGTATTTTCTATTAAGAGGTCTCCAGTTGAATTTTTTACTTAATCTGGTTCAAATTAATCTCAAAGGTACAATGGACAATTGTTTGATTTGATGGGATTTAAAATTAGTATTCACTGCATCCCAACTGGCAGACGTCAAAGTTTTAATGTTGAAATAATATATGGTTTATTATGCAAAATGTCTGTTGTAAGCATCCAATTATGTGATGTGAAGGAACTACAGAATAGCAGCAAATTAAATCATGTATATTAAGTTGTGACTGAGTTGTGATTTTGTCAATTCAGTCATGAATCACTCTGAAAATTTGAACCCTTTTCTAAATCGATGGTTTGGTTTGGCTCATACAAAATACAGAAGCAGCTACTTTAGATGGAGAACCATACAAGAAAGAGGAAGTAGTGTGTCTGATCAACATCTGAACATGGGAAATTCTGACCACTGTAAAAGGCAGAGGTCAACCAGGAGCAGGTGGTCAGTTTAAATAGCTCCCCCCTGCTGCTAATGTGGTTTGTTTTGTTTTTTTTCTGGTCCCTGTGTGTGTAGTTCTGTAGGAGAGGATTCTTGGCAAGCGAGGCAATCTTTCATGCATCCTCCTCTCACTCCTCAGATGCACAATCCACAACATCCTGTTTCTCGGGAAGTGGGTTCAGGGGGGAGGCGGGAGTGGCAGGGGGACAGCACCGATTGTTTTCTCCATTGAAACTGAGAGGAGCTTCAAGGCTGAAACTAACAGCTGTGTCACAGGGAGCGCCAAGTGTAAGACATGGGTCATATGATGTGTGTGTACTGTGGCCTCTTGCTACAGCTCCTGCTCTTTAAACATGGATGTACTCATGACTGTGTGTATGACAGAAAAAGTCATCTCAGATGATGCTTTAACAAATATGCATTAGGATTATTTCCAAATAGATAGGCCTGATGCAATAACACATTTTGAAGCAGCATGTATCCTTACAGATAGATATTGAGATAAAAGATAATATTGAAAAAAAATTCATGCCACAGACACAAAGCAGTACAAACCCAGTAAACCCATTTTTAAATGGACTGTATCATTAAAAGGTGTGAGCTGCAACTAATAAATATGAAAATTAACTAATATAAATGATTTATTCTCCCCTCAACAGCTCAAATCTTGTGTTATTGCATAAAAATGGCAAAAACCTCACTTTTGCAAAGAAATTGTACCCATGATAAATATTGACCCCCAAAAACAATGGTCTCAGATTGAACGAAAGATCAACATGCCTGTAAATAGCTATGAGACAATTGTAAAGCAAATTTAAATTCCTCTATTTATCAGTTATTCTCATAAACATGGATTAAGCCATGACCACAATGAGAATTTGTAACCATATTTGCAACCATATTTCTAAACATATACAGATTCTTGTGCATCTTGTATAACAAATCAAGATTTTTTTTTTCTTGTTTTGACTTATCATTTTTATTCCATATTATTGTCTTATTAAAAACAAATTTGACTTTCAAAATGAATTTCCTTAAGATAAACAAGAGAAACTTTTTAATCAGGGCCATTCAACACAAACAGTCCAATTTATTTCTCCAAAGACTAAACTATGCTCCAAACCAGATGCTTACTGACAGAGGATTAGCTGTGTGGACCTCTCTATTGAAAAAGACCCAGGCTGATTACTGGAAATGACTGAGAATTGTATTATTTGTGCAGCCCTACCTTACAATAAAAGATAGAAAAAAACACATAAGCATAATATAAAGTTAAAATGTGAGGTTAAAATTTCATTGATATGTCTTGAGTTGTACAAACGCCACATTGTTCCACTGACCTCTGAGACTGACAGCTGCGGATGCCTCGGTCCAGTGGAGGTTAAGCCACACGCTCACTCCCAAGTCTTCACATGCCAAGACTTATCTGTGCTGTTTATAATCTGTCATGTTCCACACTGATGCATGGGCTCATTATGAAGAGGCAGCGTGGGACAGTCAGCCCTCGACAAGCAGGATAATGAGCGTGATGGCAATGACCGTTACCCCACAGGGTACATTTTGTGTAACTCTGTCTG